TTCTTGCCACAAGGAGTAAAGTTATCTACTCCGGTGAAGTCTATCATGGAACGCGGCTTCAAGTCCCAGTGCTCGTTAACATGGCACACCTGCTCATTTTTAAGTCCTGGGGGAATATGGAAAGCATCGGTCTGAGAGGAAAAGATGCTATTGGAGACTAGCGTAAACGACTGCAAGGCTGAAATGAAGATTGGTCCACTACAAATGCTGCACCCAGGAGATGCAGCACCATGGAAGACGTCAGAGTAGTCAAGATCCAGCAGAATCCAGTAAGTGGAAATGATCCAGGTTAGTCTCAACGTGTTCCAGGGAATCCTGCCAGCTACTCCCCAAGCTTGTTTCCCACAGTGTGTCCACACTAGCATGGCCCGCTCCCAGGGCTGTTTGACAAACAGGACAACTCACACTGACATACCACAGAAAATATTAACGTGTTTTTGAGATGTGAAACTTCTCGTGTGTAGTTATATCCCAAACACTCCATGGGACTGCCATATATACCGCTCAGTTGGGGTGGTCAGTGGTGCCAGGGGCTCAATGGGGCGGCAGTCCTATGGCAGTCCCAGATGGCGGTCGTGTCGGGGTATGACATATCTCCAGCGGTCGAAGTGTCATTCACCAAGAGTTTCGTAAACTAAACTCATTCTCGCAAACTCCTTCTGCCGTCCTGATAGTCGCGCATCGGGTCAGGCTTCACACCGACCTGACCCGAGAGATGCTCTTTGATCTCTTCCAGGTGCGACTTGGCCTCGTGAACCACCTGCAGCCCGTGCGAAGCGTCCCTGGATGTTTGTTGCGAATCGCTGCGACTTCGGTCCCATGGAAGTCTCGGATCCTACTGGGTCCCATTCGACCCGGGTCCATGTTCGTTTTCGGGAGTGTAAACAGTGTGTGAGTGATTGGTCAACTCATGCTGCCACTGAGTACCTTCGAACAGTGAAAACTCCCCCATCTTCCCTCGGAGTGCTTCGGATTCTCTTGGAGCTGATTGCTCCTCTGGTTTCCCATGCATCCAATCTCATCCCACATTGCTCACTGTCACTACCCACATTGATCTACATATCTATTCTTCTGCTGGTGGTAGCCGCAAAAAAATGTGCAAACAATGTTACTCCATTCTTCCCCATTTGCATAATTCATCCCAGCGACCAACTCGAGAAGGAGTTGAAACTCCACCTTGGATTTGCAGGAACATGCAGAAACGTGTGGCTCTTGGCCCTTGGCCCATCACGAGTCACATGATATAATAAATTATAATAAAGATTAGTAAAGGGCATCCATCCGCAAGAGAGAACAAGTGCAAACCGTTCAGTTTTACAAAAAAAGACAAGCCATTCGGGTCACCAGCTGTTGGCGCCGGTTGGACCGGCAGAAAGAACGCCACACAGTTCGGACCAATGCCCTGGACCAATCTTGCATCTTTCGGGGTCCAAGTCACTTCTCCATCCGGAATGCCAGCCAGCAACGGCGCTTGCCCTGGCCCTGGGCCACATTTAATGTCTGAGGTCCTTCGGTGCGTAAAGTGAAACCTGAGCATGGGCAGAGCAACCCACCAACCATTTTGAGCACCTTAACGCTTCAACTCAATGCTCTCACTCAGGAACTTCCATCATGTGCTTTTTTTGAGCCTCTTGGCTATCACCACTCTTACTCATTTGAGCTGAGGATCCTTGGCTTGCCGCAGTAGTTGGTGAGAATGCGCTTAATGTGTTCCCTCGGGATGGGCAGAACATGCTGCCCAACGCAAATCTTGTAGTAATCCTGGTGGCCACGTTTGGCGAAGGCCGAGGACCACACACACAGATTCGCAGAACACCATTGCTGTAAATCATGCAAGATATCGTTGTTCAACTGCTGCAGCACTGCATGAAAAAGAGCAGAATTCGGAAATCCTCGATGAAGTTGTACTCCAGGACGCAGCCAGATTCACCCACAAAGCTCTCAAGGTATTCTGGCAGAGTGTCGGCAAGCTCCACTACATCGTGAACCTCCATGATCGGTCGAGAGTTTCAGGTCATGCCTATATATATATATATAGGATGATCAGGTTGGGAATGCAACGAACTTCATCTCGAAGAATCTACAACACATGGGTTGGGAAGCATGCCATGCATATGCCATCTTTGGTCCTTGACATTGCACAACCAGCCTGTTACTGTACTGGAGGAGCAAGTTCATAGATACGGAGTGGGCAAGTGACTTAATGTGGCCTACCTCATGTCACATTTCTCTTCCTGATACCCTATAGGTACCCTATAGAAATCTATATACAAAGTAAATCAAAGTGCTTATATTGCATACAAATTACATGCAAATCCTTATAGTAGGTAGTCTCTCCCCTTAGAGCCTCTTCCGAGTTCATAAAGGATGTTGGTCCCAGGCACACACATCGAGTCATAGCTGAAGCGACTGGGCCCCAGCATCGGAGCCCACAAGCCCTCATGCACCACCAGCTCTGCGCGGCGGCTCCAGCCAAAGCCGAAGGTCACCGGTGGGCAGCTCAGCTGAATCACGGTGAGGCGCAGTTGGAAACTCGAAGCTAAGACCTCCAAATCCACGAAGTCCTCAGCACAATTTCAGGATGAATTTTAGGTGTCCTATAGCTAAGTTTAATATAGTTTAATCCTGTCTTCAAAGGCCTCTGAAAGTACAGAGACCGTGCCGAATTCTTCCAACTAATTAAGCCTTTGGGCGGAGGAGGCTCATCAAATCCCAGCGCTTGAACTTGACACCGCTTCATGGCGCTACATTGCTGTGGTGGCGACAAATGGCCAAGTGGCTAATGAACATCTTTCATGTTAATAAGCAGTCGGGGACTGATTATATATATATATAGATATTGATATTGCTATATATATATATGTATATCAATGAGAACACCCAACCCCTGCAGAAACCAATGCGTTCTGAAGAGCAATAGGCATCCGCACCGCCCTCTCGTCCTGAGTCAGGCACAGGTTGTTTTCAAGATTGAGAAAAATGCTCAGCTGGCGAATGGTCCAGGCCCAAAGTTTCGGGCCCGTGCAGTCATATTCTTAAGGTATCCAGTCTGGTCATGTCTGATGACCAGTTTCCACAGTGGTGGTTGGAAGCTCCCGTGCATCCCACCCGAAAGTTAGGCATGCTACGAGCTACATCTCAAAGCTATAGTAGGCAGCAGTAGGCACAAGTCTTCATCCTGGCCTTTGGTTGGGCCATAGCGCCTTGCCACTAGAAGACCGGACCACTAGGCTTGCCACAGAAGATGTATTGACTCACATTCTGTCCATGTGCTTGCTGGTGATGCACACCAACAACCCTGGTCCACCGGGTGAAAACCAGGACGTCGCACTCATCAGCCAAGCTGCAGGCAGGCGATTCCATTGATTCTTGTCCGAGGTGAAGTCCCGCGTCTCAAATGTCAAGCAATAAAGGTACCAACGCCAGTGCTCCAGAACTGCTTCAACATTCCTAGGCGGCCCAACTCCACATCTTCAGAATGCCCCCAAACCACCCTCAAACCACGTCCTTTCCTTCACCCGCTCCCTATAGACCGTCCTCCCTCATCGCTCCGGCCACGCGTCGGATACCGCGTCAAGTGGAAGTAGCTGAGAGGATCGGACAGCTTCCGCTGGGCCGCCTCGCGGCGCGGCGCCTCGTCCAGGGCCAGGTACGCGTGCACCAAGGTGCTGCGGAGCTCGGCCTCCGTGACCTCCACATCGGCGTAGTCCAAGGCCGCCTGGAGCCGGAGCCGGGGGGTGCGGGTGATGGGCGCAAGTGGTTGGGGGCAAGCGAGGGCCGGCCGGGAAGGGCAGTCTAAGAGCTTCGTCTCAGCTCACAATATCTCCGTTTTCCCTTTTGGGGCATGGGCCCCGGATGATGGGAGAAAGCAACAGGCCTTTCCAACTTTCATGGAGCTTAGTGAACCGAGCCACTGGAAGGGCTTGCCAGGGACATCCCACAGGCTTGGTGTCCTGAAGGACGCGGTGGTAGGCATGCGACGCCCAACGCTTGAGGATATCAAAGAGCACTTGTCGTCCCCGAAACCTGGCAGAGGCGGAGGAAAGGCATCCACGGTGCCACCGTGGATGCCACATGTGTGACGTGATGTACACACCTACCGGTGCCTTCTTCACTCCTCAACTCACCATGGGTGTTTTCACGCTTTTCCGCCGTCTGCCACTTCAGGCCGACCTTCATCTGGTGGAGTTCTGAGTTAGAAGAAGAACAGGCCGGAAGGACCCCCCTTGAGGCCATCATTTCCATGTTCATTGGGAGTTCACCCGTGCACGACCGGTGAAGCCATTGCACGACCCGTGACCGTGACCGGACGGAGCTTGAGGGCAGAAGAGGGAATGCAAAAGGGAATGGATGGGAATCATTTGTGAAGTATAATCACATCCTTTCACCAACCATTCACGAAACATCACGAAACACGAACTTCCTTCAGTCACAGCCATTCTTTGTCACAGTCGTTGTTCAAATAGACATCTGGCAGGCATGCAGACGGTGAATTCCATTGACCAGGTGAAATCCAATCTCATTATGTCAGGGGCGACAACATGCAGAGATGACGTTTACCAGGGACGTCACTCAGGACGTCTGACCCTTCTCGATGTCACTCGGGCCCCCCGCGACATCAAAGAAGAGCGTGTGACCTTCGCGTGTTTGAAGCGGTATGAAGCTATAGAGCAAATCAACTCATTGAATCGTCTACTCGGCCCCAAGAAGAAGGGACCAAACTCGGCACATCTAGCTAGGCATGTTCCAACTAGGCGGCCGAACTGCCAGCGTGGACCATCTCTGAAAAAAACTAAAAACTGGTTGTTCCCATCCATCGGCGCTGTCTTTTCCGATTCCTGATGACTGGCCTCCCATGAGATGAACCTGAGGCCGGTGGACATGAGGTGAGTCAGTCAGAGTTTCAAGAGTCAAATGAACCAAACATGTAAGAGGTGTCAACTCTTGGAGGTGATTCGGCTCCCAAAACCACCTCTTGGAAGCTCCTGGTATACTGTATATGGCTGGACTCCTACCTCATTCCACCGCAAGCCTTCGATCCTCTTCGGTCCGAAGGCTGTGGCCCTCTCCTACCCGAAGCTTTCGCTATGTACACCAGGCCCGTCTTGGACGGACTTGGAGAGCTTCAGACCCTCCAGACCCTCGGGTCTCAGAGGTCGCCTCAGGGCACCAAACTCACTGAAGCAGTGAGTGGATCAGTGGCCAAAGCGATGCCCAAATTGAGGTGAATTCATGACCTCACATGGAATGTTTCGTTCGCTTGGGGGGCTAGAAACTCTGGGGGATGGAACGCGAACAGAACAGGTGAGACTTCCTCAAGCTGCAGGACGTGTCTACACACCGAGCTATGGATTAGACTGGGGCGCGCCTCCTCCGTCAGCAATAGATGGCGCAGCCGCCCTCTTCAATCGGCATGATCTCCTGAAAAAACTGCTTCAAAAGAAACGGTTTAAGGTTGAAGGCATCAGATGGGACCGGCAAACAACTGTCAATGTAGTCGTGCAGGTGCTAGGTGCTAGGCATATTCACGACTGAAATGTACGTCAAATGAAGATGCCTAATACCAAGTAACAGTAACACCTTAGTATATCTTAGTCCCCTGAATTCATGAATCCATAATGAATCCCTTGTTTAGGCCCTAGACTCCCTAAACGATCCAAAGACGCCCTAATCCTCTTAGATCTCTTGCGGGCCTAACTTTGGGGCACTACCACTCGAAGAACCTGGCACTACCGGCGCCATGCCCTTCTCACCAAGGTTCGAAGCCATTGCCCTTCTGCACCATGCATTGCCCAGGCAGACACACCGGCACATTGGCCGTTGGCTCCACCGGAGGCAGAACTCCCAGCTCCAGCCTCTCCTCAGGCTGACGAGGTGGATTTCACATGCGACGCGGAGCTGAAATTCATTGAAAATCGAACATTTGGATGACCAGCTAACAGCATCCCCTACTGATTACCTAGGGGGGGCGTCACCTGATTGTAGGGTAGGGACGGTAGGGATCTAACAGCTAAAAAAAAGAAAAGAAGTGTCCACTTTCTATACAAGTCTGAGCCAGGCATCTGTCAACAGCTGGGCATCAGACACCTGCTGATCCATCGGCAAGTATGGAACTTGCATGTCAAGGTCTGCGCTCTGCCGGCTGTGAATGTCAGAGAGCAGCTGGTCCAGGGTCCGGCAGTCAGAATCAAAGCCCAACACTTTAGGCTTTCCAGAGGCATTCGTCCAAATGAGGCTTCGTGGGTGTGTGCTGAGGCGCAAGATTGGGCAATAGGTCTGCCTTAGAAGACGGCAGGGGGCTGCTGTCGTCTTAGTCCGCTCATGGCAATGGAGACCCCAACTGTAAGTCATGAAAGAGAAGCCATGAAATCGAAGCAACCACCATATCCAACCAAAGGTCGTAGGAGTTAGCCAGGTTCTTGTAACACTTTCAATCCGTCGCTTGGATGAAGGAATGCAGGTGATGGATAGCAATGGTGCTCTTGCAAAAAAAATGGGATCTGTGCCGTTTCTGCTCTGGCTTCTTCATCTTCACTCGGCATCTTCACTCTCCAACTTCCTACCGCCCCGCCCTACTCAAGCCAAAACGAAAAAGAGAGAGAGGGAGAGAGAGAGAGAGAGACTTCCAGCACCTCCCAGCACCTCCCAGCCTCTCCCGACACCTCACCTCACCCTTACAGCGCTGAGTTCAGGTGCCCCGAGGCGTAGATCTTGGAGCACAAGCGTGCCCCTCCAGCGCCATCCCTGCGGAGCTCTGCTGGAAGGCTGAAGGGCGTCCTCGGTCGGGACTCCCTTTGAGGGACTCCCTTGACCCCGCGAGCAAATGGGGAGGAGACTGGATGAGAAAGACACCTACTACGTAGTTAGGGAAGTGTTTCTTTATGAGAGTAAGAAGAGTAAGACTATATATAAGTATGCGTAAGCAACGGACAAGAAACTCCGGGAGACAGAACGATGAAGCTTAAGGAAGTGCTTCTTCCCAGTTCCGGGAGTCTACTGACCAGTAGTAAGTAGTGAGGAGGTAGCGACCACCCATCCAAGACCTGGCCCACCAGATGCCCTGCCAGTTCCCTTCTTCGAGTCCCAAAGGTTGAGAAGAAATGAGAACTGGGTGCTAGCTCGGACAGGTGAATGTTACCACAGTCTGCAGGACTGGGTGATCCAGGACTGCTCATGAAGCTAGCATCTGGCAGCTACCAGTGAGCTAGCAGCCCACATAAGCGACCCCCCAAAAAATGGCATGTCGAATTATTGTCGAATTTCAAACTCAAATGGAGCAGAAGGCCTTCTTCTTTCACTCGAGGTAGGGTCGTCCTAGCATGTCGTAGCTACATGTAGCTACCCATGTCGGTCCACCTTGCATGCGATCTTGGCTTCAAAGAAACCAAACATGTTTCTTAATTAATGTAGACTCTTGATCAATAGACCCCCCCCAATTGAGTTGAATTGAAACACCTCTTTACATGAGGGGTTTATTAATCAAGAGTCTACATCACGTGCTCCTCCAGGTTCCTTCGCTTTGGAGGCCTCCAGCTTCAATCGTGCAAGGACTGCAAATGGCCGCAAGGCTCACCGTCCACCCCACAGTCGTTCGATTGGGTTGAGGAACCCCATGGGTTTGTGCTTGATGTGCCCTTAAAACATCTATTAAAACTAAATCTGGGAACAAAGCAGGCTGAATCTCTTCTCCATCTTCGCCTGCGGCGGTCTGTATATATGTCAACGCTAGCCGCTAGTTTGTGCCGCTGAGTGGCAAGTAGAGCCACCCAGGTGGCAAGCGACCCCATGCATCACTGTCCTCCCAATTCCACATCACAGGGCCTAGCCGACCGGGCACTTCCTTAGTTTTTGGAAGCAGTGCAGGGGGATCAGGCCGGATCCAAACATTGAAAGGATATGAGAGGCCAAGCCATCGCCTGCGGCCATGCACGACTCACTGCATGAGGCCATTGCCACCACCCCAAAGGCAGGCATCATTAGAGGTGCGATGGCTGGATGGCTGATGCAGACATGTGCTCAGATCTTCCGAATTTAGAAGCTCTGTCTTGGGGCTGCCTCGCAGCTTCGAGGCACCTGGGTGTGTAGCTGCTACGTAGGGAGGCCTCCCAAAGGACCAATGACCCCCTCAAAAAAAGGCAAAATTAAATAGACCAGTCTACCCAGCCAGGGCCAGGGGCATTCCAACTGAAATACACATGCATGTGAGGCCCATGGACCCTCATGGACCCTCACCAAACACCGTCCGGAAGCTTTTGAACACGGAAGCTCCGACCAAGGACGCTGAGTTGATCTGAGGCTCTGCTCCTGCCTGCAGTGCTGGTGGTGTGTTGATCTCATAGGTACTGGGCACCTGAGGCTGGGATCTCTCAGACTTGGACCGCTGTTCCATACAGGTGATGACACCAGTCTCCATGAGCTTCCACCACTCAATGCTCGAGTTCTGAACCTGAGCATTCCAAGCGTGCCTGCGAAGCCAAGGCGAAGTCGAAGCGCATGCCTGCGCTCATGGCCTGCTCCGTCTGGTTGAAAGCATCAATGTCCGCCTGCAGGCAAACACAACAGCCCTACCGTGCACAGCAATGGCTCCGACGAGTCGTGAGGCACAGCTCGAACGCCAAGCCACCTGGCTACCATAGGTCAAAGGCATACACAGTTCCAAGGAGTTCTCGATGGTGGTGGAGCTGGCCACATGCACGCAATCTCCCATGATGCGGCCAAAGACCTCTCGGCTCCGCGCCCGGCCGGGTGACACTTGGACCAGGTCGCGGCATCTCGGGTCGTGCGACGCCGTGCGATGCCGTTTTCCGGTCCGTGTGTGAAAACGCCGACCCAAATCACCGAGGTCGGCCTCCTACCTTTAACACAACAGGTGTGAAGTTGAGGTTGGCCTCCTTCACCAGGACCAAAGTGGCTGGTCACTTGAGATCCCAGTGGCTGAGGTCACTTGTATAGTCCCTGAAGAGGTCACTTACAGACTCCAAAGAGGTCACGAACGGCTCAGCTCCTGGCACTTGGCCTCCTCACATTCCCCTCTAAGTCCGGTCCGGCACCTCCCCCTGCGCGTTCGCGACCACCGACCGGCAGGAGGTGCTCGCCACATCCAGGCCGATGGTGCCAGGAGAGGTGGTCATGGTGGTGTTCTCCAAGTACTCTTCGGTCAAAACCTCGGAGCGAAAGGTCAAGAAGGAGATGAATCGATCGAAGTATAGGCGGATGATGGCTCAACAAGAAGTAGTACACTAAGCCAGTCTCTGAGGGTGAAAAAACCGCCTGAATCATGAGATGAATCATTTAGGCTGCCTGGCATGTGACCGTTACATAAAAGGAAGGCCGGTGTTTTGGGGGGCGGGGCCGTTGCACCAAATTCGCCTTGGTTGGTTTGATATATGCTTCGATATGAATATGATATGGTTCGATGTCAAAATTCGATACTGCTCCCGTGGATGTCGAAGCACCAAAACATGCCCCAACCACCTGCGACCACAGAACCACACCCGTCACCTCAATCGACCAAGCCACGTAGAGCGACGAGGGCGGCAGCCCCGTGGAGGTGTCTGCGGCCGCGGCCAGCTCCTCCGCGGCTCGCAGGCGGTCCTGGCGCCGCGTCTCCTCGGTGGCGGCCAACTTCTTGGCCAAGTCTGCCGCCTCCTCCGCCTCCGCCTATGGAGATCTTGGGAAGAAAGATGAAGAAAGACAGGTTAGATGAGGTTAGTCTGAAGTGCAGGGTAGTTGCACATCTTGTTTCTCCGGCTCCCAGTGACAGTGAATCCGTGAATTTATGGTTGTTTCCATCCATTTGATGGACACGAGAAAGGAGCCTCACCTAGGCTAACAGTGCGAAGTAGGTGAGGAAAGTAAGCCCAGAAAACACCACACTCTAACCGCGTCCCCTCAAGAAAAAGCAAGGAACTGGCTGTTTGTCACTGACATGGCAAACGTGCCCTTTCCCGCCTCTGGATCGATGTCCAGCTTGATCATCTCATTGACCACCCACGCAGGGTAGCCACCAATGATACCTCCTGCGTCCACCGTCTCCATGCTTGCAGGCGATAAGCTGGTGGTGGTATCTGAGAAGACCATGAACTGCAATAAAAAGCTACGTACCAATGCAGCACGCCCGGGCAGTGCAATTTGCGGCGCTGCCACTCCCAGGAAGTACTCGAATGGCAACACGCTGATGTCATACTTCACAGCAGCCATGGTACTGTCCCCGAAGCGCGATGCAGTGTACTCATGCCAGGAGAGGCGGATATCTCCCAAGGATGCAGAACTAATCAGCCCAGCAGTTGCCAGGATTTCGCCAATGTGTATCAAACCAGATGGCAGTTGCATCAAGGGTGGGCCTGCAGGCATGCCCTGCAAGCGCTCTCCTGGCTTTTTTTCAGCTTCCCAAGCACCGAAAACAGTCGTGCGTCACAACCGGGAGACATTGGTTGACCCATCCAAATCGTCCAAATGAACAGAATGGACCTAAACCAAAGAGGTCAAGCAAGTTTCCAAGCTCCCGGTTCCCATACCCACATGGATTCCACATGCATTGATGTTTTTGTGATGGGATTCCCTTTTGGCCCACCTTCTTAGCCTAAAGGGCCAAAACAAGAGTTTCCCAAATAGATAGAAGTTCGTAGATCCCTTTCGAAAGACTCAAATATATCCCATCCAATACATGGATCCATCCAATATATCCAATTTTTTCCAATATAAAAATGTCTTGGAATCTATGTCACGATCTAAATCGGCATCGGCGTGTCCCAGTCGACAGATCCTCTTTCGACTGAGGCGTCCAAAAGCTCGCTTTGGCTGCCACAGGCTGCAGCAAACCTTTCGCCGCAGCGTTCGAGGTATTAAAGAGTGGCACGGTGTCCAATGCATTTTGAGTGGGGAACAGCTTATCTATTTGGAGGTCTATATATTTATATGTATACATATATATAGACTGCAGGGTCGCCCACATTGTTTGGGCTTTGCAAGTGGAGTGAAGCGACATGATGTCAAATGATCATGACTTGACTAGCGCTGCACCCAGGGATTCACAATTAGTTTCGGGAGATTGGCACACCAACATCTCATGATCGACGTGTGCTGCCGCCAAAGTACATCTTGAGGGAGGTCATCAGTGGCTCAACCATGGCCACAGCCGCATTGAGGCGCTGTTGTCCCAGCCGCGCTTCCTGGGCAACAGGACACACACACACACAGCGTGAGCGGATTTGGGGGACTCCTCTCCTACTCAGACTTCCAGTGACTGTGTCCCGGCGTGGTTGGAACAGCTCCAGTTCCGGGACCTTCCGGGAAGCTCCGCTCGGCCGCTCTCTGGCCGGATACTATGGCCAGGCATCCAAGGCGTTCTCGAACAGGCGACGTAGGAGATCGATATCCACCACTTCAGCCCATCGGTTCACCGGGCTCCACGCACGGGAAAACCTGGGCACCGGTCGCTCACCGGCGGATCGTAATATACCTAGATCCCAGACATGACCTCTGTTTTGATAGGAACAGACCTTATTTTGAGTGGTTGGTGGTCCAAAATAGAGGTCATTCAGGTTCTCCTTCTTGATCCTTCTTGTATAGCACCGTCCTGACTGTGAGGAATGGGTTTCATGAGGTTTCATGCGGTTTCACGCGGCAAGCGCGATCGGTCGCCGGTGCGCGGTGGAGGTGCAGAAGTGCCAAGGAACCAGCCACGGAGAGGATTCACTAAGTCGCCTCGCTTCCAAAGCCCGGAGGTCCACTGAAAGACCTCATCTTCCAGTCCATCAAGCAGGGGGGAAGGTCTTGTGTCTTTGGAGAGCTCATGATGGTATCTACCCTTGGCCAGATGACGGACGGCATTTGGGATCGTTTGGTAGCGACCAGCTCACAAACTCAACCCTGGACTCAACAAGTGTCTTTCTTCAGAGTCCAAAAGGAACCAAGAACCTCGGACACAAATCCTTCAAAACTGGAAGTTTGCTTTCGCCACCCTAGCAGATCCAGCCTCCAGCCACTCGCCTTGACAGGCTTTGCACTCTGCCTCCATGGCTGCAGCTCCCGGCATGTCGCTGTTCACCACGTTGCTGGTAAAGAGCTCGCATCGATCCCCACGGCGTAGCAGGCAACAGGCCTTCCACCTCAGATGGCGAAGGAGCCAGTGGTGCCACAGAACCATTCGTGCGCATGGTACGACCATGTACGCATTGTCGTACGCATGCGAATGCTTGGCGCAATGCTGTTGGCGTGCCTGCGGTCTATTGCACATGGAAAGTGATAGACTGATAGACATGTCATGACATGTCCAGTTCGTGTGCTGCATGTCAGTGGAAAGAACCGTGCCAAGTGTCTTTGCACAAGAGGTTGGGGTCGTTGATCGTTCGATCCACACTGCCTGGCAATGCATCCGCGGCATTCGAGGCATTTCTCGTTCGCCTTTCCACCTCTTCCCGACTTCGACGACTTCGACGACTCTTTTGATGATTCTTGATGGATTATTTCATCCCATATAGGAAAGAGGATGGAAGAGATGTTTCAACCCAACTTTGGGGTGCGTTTATGATGGTTTATGATCTTCAGTCCACAAAACACCCGACCCCAAACCATCGACCCTCGCTTCGATGCCTGGAACGGTGGAGCCAAGGGGTTCAGCCTCTCACACTCCGTGCGGTTCAGCCGCCCGGCGCCCCGCAGCCGCGCGCGGATCAGGTCGAAGTCCGTGGCTTCGGCGGCCAGCTGTGCCTCCTGCAACGAGGTGGCCCAGGCTGCGGCGTCCTGCAGGGAGAGAACAGCAAAGCCGAGCTCCATTCAAGAGACCCCTTTTTCAAAACGTCACTTTACAGATGGTCTGGTGATCCTAATGCCATGGTCCATTGATCCTTGAACCTACAGGACCTACAGTACTGCGCCATGTTGCAGTAAACCTCCTGTTTCTCGCATTTGGAATGGACCAAATCTCTTGGGCTCGAGCTTCCCTCTGATGAGATGTCATCTGCTTCCCCCCTCCTCCAGCTGGCTCCCCTGCGCATTCTCGGAAGTCTGCGAAGATAGATCCATCAAGCCATGCCGCTGTCTCACCTGCGGGGTGCTTCGGATGGAAGGGGCGGGCGACATCCGAACCCCCCCAACCCGACACAAGACACCGACCGCGGTGTCGGAAGAACACCCCCATCCCTGACCTCCATGCCAAACGGAGGGTCCAAGCGGAAGAAGCACGTGCCATCAGGAAACCTCGGCATGAAGCAGGAAAAAGGTCCAGACATGCCCACATGCTATAGTGGTCCCCCAATAAATAGAAGGGACTCCAATACATGTAGAGTGGAAATCTACGAACTTCTATCCATTTGGGGGGGTCTATATACTATACAACCAATTAATTATATACAGTAAACCCACAGGTGATGCGACGAGAACGCCCGTCCACTGCTCCAAGCAGCGAGCTGGCTCCGCCGATGACGCAGCCTTGCTGAATGAGATCATCATCCAAGGGTGTGACCACGCAAGTTCCGGAGCTGGCGAGGCCTCGCAAGTACCGACGGTTCCGTCATCCGTCCGACTCGGTGAGTCCCGACATCCAGAAGCACAAAGAAGTCGAGTGCGGGTCCAAGGAAAAGAATACCAAGGGGATTGCGCAAGGCACACAACCTTTATCGTCTGCTACCAGTACCTCCCTCACTTTTCCGAACTTGCTCCAACATGAGCAAGAAGCACACCCCTCCACAGCCCATCTCTCACATGATCCAGGCGTCTCAGTCCAATATCACGATCACTGCAATGGCCAGACAATGTGCAAAGATCTTCCGTGGGGCAAGGCCTCCGGAAAATTCGAGGCACCAACTGATTGCACACAATGCGCGTGTGCAGTGGCGCGTTCCTCTCCCGAGCCTGACGCTCTGGAAGCATCCCATCACGTGAGCGAGGGGGTCCTCTTCACCTGGGAGCAACATACGGTGCCGAAAACACCAAGTACAAAGCAATCAATGTGGATTAGATAGGCAATGATAGGCAGGTGAACTAGTTGAGCTGGCCTGCACCCGAACTGTTTCTGAACACACATCCAGTTCACCTTGCGCAGCTGATTGACAGCTTCAACCATGGGCGCTGGGTGCATATTGCATCTGATTCAGCTGCTGAGACCAACCTAGGCCTCTGCTGAGACCAATCCCGCTGTCAAGTTCCCACCGAGTTGCAGCTGTCCTCATCAAAGTTCTCACAGCGCTTGATGAAGAACCCGGGGCCCATGCAATACCTTGCTTCAATGAATGGGTTGAAGGAGAACAACTGCAGGAACCCATGGCCTATAGGGTTAAAAACCATAGGTTTCCTGTAGATTGTCCCTTAAACCAATTCTGGGATTGCTGTGGCATGGTGTGACTGGTGCTTTGCCTACCTACTCCATTGCGTTCAGGCTGAAACGAGGCAGTTGACCATGTGTCGTTCAATCTGGCGGGGCCAAGGCCAAGGCTGTCCATCACAAAATCACCCTGCCTACTGAGCTTGCTAAGGGGGTTGCTACTTCCGCTATGCCTTTTCTGTCCGAGCATTCTTGCTCGTCAGAGAGTTAGCAGCTCGTGGTCTCACATGCGAGCAACCAGCAGCTCGTTCTGGTTCGGCAACGGCGAACAAATGCGAACAAAACCATTGATGGGAACACACTCACGAATCCAAAAGCAGCTTCCTCAAACCAGCATTGGCCACAATTGGCCACAGTGGAATTCAGAATGTGGATATAAATGCGTCTTAAAGTCTAAAGACTGAGCAAGGCTATATATAAGGCTATGGCTCTGACATGCCTGCTGTTTGAGTCGACTCGAGCTCACCTGTGTCGCACCGAGCTACATGATAGGCCTGTGTCGCAATGCGCAAAGCCGTTGGAATCGCTTGACCCCCATGCGCTCGTCAAAGATCTGCCCCTCCACCACGAGTCCTCCCAACCTGAGACATCTTCAGGTTGGAACAGGATACCCACAAGGACCTACAATACAAATGTGCCCAGCAAAGAAGCTTTTTATATACAAACATGGTGACATCAACTCTGATTCCTGAAGCATGGCCGGCACTCTGGGCAGCCTTCCTTCTCAAACCGAGCAGCTGATTGCAGGAAGCCACATCTTCAGAGACACACAGGCCATTGTCTTGCGTGACCAGGGCAGGAGAAGCACAAAATGTGCAATCGGCCGTGCACCCGTAGGTCAAACCTCAGTGTAGGAAGCGGTGCGGAACACAGCTCCAAGAGACACCGGCGAACTACTTCAATGTCCCTGCTGACTTTGCCTGCAGGTGCTACCGAATGATACCATTGGTTTTTTTCAGATAGTTCTTAAGTCTCAAGACATGACGGGTGCAAAGAAAAACACCACAACACTCCGGCCCAGCATTCAACACCACCAGCAGCACCCGCCCACCAACCCAACGCATCCCAGGCCACGGCAGCGGAGCTCGTCCAGGATCATCTCATCTGTGTCGCACCGGGGCACCTCGCAACTCACCTGGAGTCGCCGTCTGGTGAAGGAGTGTGGTGCTTGTAATTCATTTAGTGGTACTTGTATATGTGACATGTGTATATAAAGATAGACACAGTATACTAATTATAGACACCTATACCGTATACCGCCTGTACACCTACTGTAGACGTTTGTATATATGTTTGTTACGAATGCAGGTTCAGGGGAATCGAGACCCTGGCCTGATCGTGAAGGATTGCAGGCTGCCATAGAGAAGGCTCCGAGAACTTCGTCAAATCATCGGTCGGTCCCTTGCCTCGGTTGGTGGATTCCACTGGGTCAGTCAGTTGCCTTGGTGGATTCCTCTGGGTCAGTCAGTCAGTCAGCCAGGCAGTCAGTCAGTTTGCTGCGACATGCCGCGGTCAACTCCACCACACCGAGCCCCAGATGTTTTCGGCGATGCGAAACGGACCATCGATGGGGTTTTTAGCTCCGGAGCGACGGTCGTCCCGACCGGCCGGGCCGGCTGTGAAGGTCCTGACTCGGTCGGGGCCGGAGAGCAGAGAGAGAGAGAGAGAGATCACTCTTGTGTTCAGATATTGCTATAGTGATAGCACACACATACATATATATATATATATATTGTGTATATATATATATGTATGGTACCCGGGTACCCGGTACCCCCCCCCCAAGACCTACCTTTTCCAATGACCTGGATCAAGATGACGAACCAGCGGACGACGAACGCACGTATATGCATTACACTGTTCAGCCCTCCGGTGGGACAGTTCATGCTATCCCGTTTGGAGAACACACAACTCGATTGCCCAGACTAGAAAGGCTTCAGATCCAACGCCACAAGGCTTTTCAGATCCAACGCCGCATTGTCTTGGTTGCTGGCTTGCTGGGCGAGCCACACTCCAAGTTCGCCACCAGTGCCAACCACGCCTGAACCTGGGGAACCCGATCTGAAATCGTTTGGGTTCCGCGTCGTCCAAACTGTTTAGGTCGGTTCAGGTCCTTTGTGGCATAGGCGTATTTTGCTTAAGAGTAGATGGCGCAAGTTACCCCAAGCTTGGTGGTTTACATGGACCTTGATAACTACCTTGATCTAAAAGACATCGTGGGGGTTCTGCCATCTACTCTATAAGACTACATGGCCGAGAGATGCTTTGTAGTTCGAAGCATTTCATGGCAGTCGGCGTGAAGACATGAAACATAGCTGCCTTGACTGCTGCCTTGCAGTCCTTGCGGGGACACACAGCTTCCACAAATGAACTAACTAATGGAGCCAAATAGGATAGGGAATGATCTTAGCTCACATCGAAGGGGATCTCTTCTTGGAAACGTTCCAATGACACCCAAGACATTGATCATGCCACGGGGATCATGTTGCTTATAACTTATAACTGTCAACACTGGAATAAAGAACACCATGGGTGCCCCGCGATGCCGCATCCGCCGCATCCGAATGGGAGCCTAAAATGCGGGCAGCTCCCCATCGTTGAAAGTAGATGTTTATAGAGGGGGGCACCTGCAAATTTCATTCCAAACATCAAGGTTGACCACATACCGGCAACCCAAGTTGAGGGCTCCCTAGCTTTTTGGAGAGATTGCCCGCTGCTAGGGGCGGCCAGGACAAATTGAACATGCAACATAATAAGTTGTTTCTCAAGAGTCTGAACATGTATCTTTCTCCGGCCGGCGTATATGGTCTATAGATTCCAGATCCTGTTGAATCTTGGTGTGCCAGAGAAACCAATTGAAGCACGATCTGCGGAAACGCTTGACTTGACTCGTAATTTGCGGTCTGAAGGGCTCTCTCTTGAAACAAGCCTGCTGGTATGACGCTGATCGCTTTGCCTTAGCTGGCGTCACAACCGGCCCATCAAGTTGCAACCACAAGCACACAAAAGGCACACTGGTTTGCTACATGCTTGAGAAAGAGGCGGGAGGTGTGTTCAAAAGACTCACAACATCTAAAACCTCGCGGGGAAAAAAAGCACGTAACATTCAAACGTCCTCAAACAAGACCTTTAAAGATTTTGAAGATCCTTATGTTCAGCTGTCGTCCAGCTCCGAGCTTTTCCAAGCCGCTGGCCAGCAAGCCGCGCAGCACGCTGCTGATATCCGTGGCCGTATCTAACGGTTGGCCCCCGAAGACCTCACCAATGGAGCGGTCCATGGCCAGTTGAGCGTCCCCCTGCTCGAAGAGCGCCGGAAAGAAGGCCTCAGGGCGGGATGGAGACATGATATCAGACCAATCCTTGGTTGGGCTTGCGAGATCGGGCGGTGTCTGGGCTGTTGCCGGCGAGCCGGCGTTGGCCTTCGTTTGGAACATCCTTCGTTCTTGTGGTGAGAAGGAAAAGCGGTGTCGCGATTCGATGACGTTTGAGAGCGTGCGCGCCGGCGTCTATGTCCACATCTTTCTAATCATCTAAGGTCTAAGGCGGAGGTTGCGTCCGATAGGTCGTCTGCCCACCACTAGGTGCATAGCCGCTCTTTTTTCACATCTTTTCACCCACCGATCGATGGAGCGTTGATTGCAACGTGGGCACCACGTTGAACACCGAGGGAGTTCCTTCCTACTTCGCGCCGGCACGAGGTCGCGCTCACGTGGTCGAGTAGCGCGTGGCCATCCTAAGGTCTGGAGGCTGGGTCGCTCAAAGGCATCCATCTGACCGTTGGAGGGCGGCAGCAGCGGTGGTGGAAACATCTCCCGATTGGGGCCGCCATACCTGGTGAGCTGCGGCGGCCCAAACACCGTTGACCAACGGTGGATCGGCTCCCAAGACCAGGGGCATCGCGCCCAGAAAAAAAGAAAGATCAAATGTGAAAAAACACTGTGGTTGTATAAAAGCAATGGGCACATCATTGGGCCAAACGACCCGCAGTAGTGAAGAAATCTGTCTTTTTCCCTTCTCCCTCCAGCCAGGTCCAATTCATTCCAATTCCATGCTGCCGGGATGCATCTGCCGTGGGTCCGGCATTCGATACATGCACATGCCCCTGCCACGATTCCCAAAGAAATCCGCTCGAATCGAGGCTCCCTCGGTGAAGAGCTGCTGGGTGAGCTCCGTGGGATCCATCTCCTACGACGCACCGAGAAACGACCGGCGCAACGCGCGCAACGCGCGCAACGCGCGCCGCAACGACACCACCAACCGGGGGGGAAAGCCAAGCTGGAAGACATACCAGGACTATCCTGTCTCGGTCACCTGGCTAGACTACCCTCCACTGCTATCCGGGATCTCCATTAGACCCATTGGACGGTCCAGGGATGAAGACGACATAAGACCAGCATCAACTTCACCGGAGTCCACTCATCTCCCTGTCCCGCCTGGTTCCGATCTAGGATGGCCAGCAGTCGTGCGTCAAGGCCGCTACTGTTGGACAAACGCCGTCCAGCACCCACAGGCGTTAAGGACATCTCAAAGTCCTCCAGGTAGGGCAAGGTGCCTGTGTCATAGGCCCTCTGCAAGCAAAGGCCAAAGATCCTGCAAGCTGCTTGCTGCTTCCATCTGATTTCCATTTAGTGACTGTATTGAGTTGATTCCCTATTTGGAGCGGCAAGCAAACATGGGATCCGCACCAGGCCACATGTACTAGGCACTAGTAGCACCAGTAGTGCTAGCAGCAGGAGAAGGAGGAGGAGTAGTTAGTAGTGTTCGTAGTAGTAGTAGTAGTAGTAGCAGCAGCAGTAGTAGTAGCAGTTGTTGTTGTTGCAGCAGCAGCAGCACCAGCAGTAGTTGTTGTAGGCCAAGAATCCTAGGGCATCTTGGTGGAAGGTTCAGACGTCTAATCAAGCTAGTAGGACATAGGCCCCAGTTCTCCAGAAAACAACTTCAGAACATCTCCCAAGGTGTCGCCTCTCATCATCCGCCACGTTCGTCGCCTTGCCGGGGTCGTACATCGTTGCTTGCAGCTTCCGTGCGCACATGTTGTTGCCCATCTGACATAGGTGGATGCCTGGGAGAAAGCATTGGGAAATCCAGAAGTGCAGCCCTCCCAGCCCTTGAGTTAATGCTTAGCATGACACCACCAATGCGTCGGAAGCTGCTTCTTTGATACCAGGGAGGGCTCCGCCACTGCGCTCGGCCAGGCCAAACAGACAAACAAGTGGATTCGGTGTCCACCAAATTGTTCACCACCTGGCACTGGTAGCAGTAGCCAACCGTTCGACATTGTGTAGCAGCGTAGCAGTAGCATGGGATGGATGGATGGATGGATGGATGGATGGGTGGATAAGCAAATAAGTACCATGGCTAGCCCGAAAAGATATGATGAGCCTCTTGCGCCTTTATCAATGTCCACGACAAGTCCCAAACAAGGCTATCACTGCATCACCAACAGTTAGGCACACTCCCGTGACACACTCCGACTCAGTGACATCAAAAGTGGAAAACCACCGGTTTGTAGCAGAAGATTGTCTTTAATTACTTGTCCACTCCCATATTGCATGCTAGTGAGGGGTGCACTTGATGCATGCGAAATTCATCCCATCCAAGCTCCGCCTCAGGCTTTGCAAGCGCCTGGCCGCCACCACAAACGCAACAGGCCGTTTTGGCATCCACACCTGACCGCCCCACACCGCTTGCACCGCACCAGCCAGGTTGTACAGGTGAAATTCAAACCTCCTAAGAGACATTCAGAATTCGCATGCTTTTTTGTGGATCTTCATCCTGATGAATCTGCGCAAGCTGTGCATCTGATTGCCATGCATGCTGTGCTTGAATCATGCCAATCGCCACTGGGTCTGCGCGTATGTCCGAAGGTTCCCAGACCTGAGGTTCCGAGGGGAAAGACCCCCCATTGCAGGTCCCAGCCGGAGCCATATCCCATTCGATCACACCACCTCAGCGAGCTCACATGGTGTGACAAACAGTGACAGATCCCATTCTCGAGAATCCAAAGAGGGGAGGATCTCCTTTCGAATAATCTCCGGAACCATCTTTCAAAAACTTGTTGAGCATTCTTGCAAGCATTCAAGCATATTTGAAGCTCTAGGAAGGACTCTTCATGCAGGTACAGGGTGGCCTCTTAATGGCCAAGGGACAAAAGGAAAGCCTGTGGAAAGCCTCTATCCAAGACCCGTCAAACTTTGGTGTTTCGATGGCATGGAAACTCCCACAGTGAAAAACGTGAGTGAACAATGAACAATCTGATGATTTGAACATTGGATGTCCCCTAGGAACGGCCATTTGGCGGGCCTAGGAGAAGCGGCAGGAAGGATCGATTTATATAAAGGCCAAGTCAGTGCTGTTTGCATGATCTTCCACCGTCCAAGACTAAGGTGCTTGAAGACCTCATAGGTCGAGCATGGGTGACCATTGGCATCTTTCCAATCCTAAGGCACTGGCAATGTGGACAAACTGAAGAAACTTGTTGCAACACATGGAATACACGACGTGCAATCCTTCAAATTGCCCCCTCACAAGGAAAAAAAATCAGACAAATCATGTTGCGAGAAAAGCACCTGATGAGCTACCACGAGGAAACGAACGGTAAAGGAGTAGAGAAGAGTTGAACTGAAGGCGACTGTTCGGGGTAATGCGCTCAGTGAGTCCACACAGGCTGGTCCGAGAGTCGAAAGGCTGGTCCGAGCAGTCCACACCACCGCCACAGTCGCAGCAGACATCCGTGGCGGCCAAACCACTCGAGGAGAAGTCCGCAAAGCTCCGAGGAGGATTGTAGACCTGATTGCATCATCATCAGGGAGAGATCCCCAGCACATCGAGAAAAAAAGAGAACTATCGATGTCTTCACCGCCCTTTCTGGCCCTGTCGATCAGGGCCCTCCTACTCTCACTGAACGACCCGTCCACCACTGCAGCTCAGCTGCCCAGTTGGTCCCATAGAGCCCTTGCTGTGTGCAAAGGGAATCAGTGACCTAAGTGCAGGCACCAATCACGCAGGCAGCATCGCGTGTTCAAAAACCTAGGCAAGTGCAAACTGGACATGAAACATGCTTTTTTCCCTAACTTAACTAGCATTTGCCATCCGTCGTGTGGCCGACCGGGCGTCTACGTTTCTGCGTCTTTGCCCATCGTCCGAGTGGCGTAGGTCGGGCAATCTCTGCCCACGCTGTCCATCCAGCCATGCACCATGTCCGAACAACCGGAGACTTGGGTCGTTGTGCAGTCCTTGGCGTCCACTGGGCCCCTCTAGAAGCGGGCTATAAAGTCGTCTGGTCGCCTAAGGCCTTCTTGGGCGCGGGCCTTGTTGGCTGGTTGTCAGAAGCTATAGATGGCCGTGTGGCCAGAGTTGGCCAGTCTCATTCAGAGGTTTTGGTGGTCCCAACATTTGCCCCATGGGCAAAGTGAAAACCAAAAAACTGCGTCCCTACTGCATCTAATTATACACCCCAGACTTCCATTGAACCGTCCCCTGTCTGGTCGCAGACAAGATTCAAAGCCACCCTCTGTTCGAGCTTTTTCGTTGCCTCAAGCGAAGTGAATGGTCTGTGGATCTCACTTAGGACAATCATGCTACGCAGGTGCGGACATGACCGCGTTCTTGAAACTGCGGCGAAGCGGCAGAAATCGTTGCAGCAGGCCACGCAGTAGTCACACACATCCCGGATACGGGCTGAGCTCCCTTGCGTGCAGTTCGGAGCAATGACGCCAGCGAAGAGCTTGAATGAGCTATCCTGAGTTCGGATCTAGCATCCGGATCTGCGACTATATAGAATCTATAATCTATATATTTAGCTTGAACCAAAGCAAAACAAACTATGAAGCCCAAGAAAATCAACATGTTCTGTAAATAATTAGGTATACAGAATGTAATTATCGAAAAGGCCTTCCGTCGCCACGTCTTATTCAAGAAGGGGGCAACAAGAAAGCATCTTTGGAGCCGTTCTGCCTCCCAAGCTTACGTCCAAGGATCCAAAAAGGCATCCAGTTGTCCTGGCTGCACTTCTACAGGAAGCCGGCCGTGCACAGGCAGCACATCATATGCCTGACACCTGCTGCTGCAGTCGCAGTTACCTCGACCGCGGCCAACGGCTAGCGGATCGATCCAACGTAAACCCAGGGGCATCGCCTCTACTACTACCAAGGACGCGAGCTGCGTGGCTTCTTGTTACTAGTAGCGATGCCCTTGCTCCTAGTAGCGATGCACCTGGTTACTAGTAAATAGCTTCTTGTTTATACAAACTAAGCACTGAACATAGAAAAAGAACGATTGAATCAAGAGTGTTGCAGTGGTCACAGGTCTTCGGGCGACAGCTTTGCCAGTATATGAATCTGTCTGTTCCCACGATGCGTTGGAGAATGCATCCAGTGCCAAAATAGGCAGGATCCACTTCGCACCATCTGGAGTTGGAAGATCGATCGAAATAGCAGCCATTGATGCTTTCTTCTGTCGGCGCTCCAGGGTATTGGTATCTGACGCTCCACTCCTCTTTGCAGGGACACTCTATCAAGCCCTCTGTGGGGCATACTCCATCAATACCTCAATGCGGCAGCTGGGTCCGATGGTCCGATGCATAAATTTGCACTTGTGCTACGTAACCCATCCCCCATAACCCTCACCTCTGTAAAAGCCTTAGGGTCAAACAAATGGTAAGAAAAACTCCAAAGCAGCCCTAGGGATCTCTGTCACCAGTTTTGGCTAGCTGCATCTTAGTGATTTGGGGAGCTGAATCTTAGTGGATCCCCAGGGTGTCTGCTCAAATAATTGGGTCGGTCTACTATCTTGTAACCTCACGCAGGCGTCGATGCTTCCACAGCCGCCTCCACGATGTGTGGGGCAAGGATCACACAGCCCGGGCGGTGGATTCCTGATCCGCCGCAGGCCAAGGTCAAGAGGTCATTCCGGAATCCAACATTGAATCCAAGAAAGGACTCACAGCCGGTTTGACCACACTTGGAGTTGTTCGACTTCCAAACAAGGAATCCAATGTGAATCCAACTCCACCCCCCCCCAGCCATCACGGCTGTTTGAGGACAACCGTGCGTGCTTTCAGCGGTTTTGAAGGAGGGGAGACATGGTCAGAACGTGCGCCAAGCTAAGATAAATCTCAAAGCCCACCACTGACTGCCTAATCTAATTGGGAAATGGCTTTGGCAGCATTGGCAGTTCAATCAACTCAAGTGAGTATCTTTGCCATGTGTCCTTTGCGGCGTCTGATGTTGCGAATGCAACAATTCTGCCCCAACCAAAGGAACATCGGAAGTGGTTTGATCGGCCCCAAATGGACAAACATATTACTGTGGTTGGAGGTCCACGGCACAAGAATGTAGACTGGCCACCTGGGCAAAGCAACTACAAATTCTATCAAATTCTGGGGTGCTCACCCTCCCGTCCAACCACTCCAAGGTTCCCACCATAGGCCAATGCACAGGTTTCACAGCTAAAGCAGTAGCTCCGAAATGGGCATTGGCTATGTGCCGCGCATCCCTCAATCACCGGGTGGCATCCGGCGCCCGACAAGGTTCTGAGCCAAGCCCATGGCACTTGGCGATAGTAGATGTCTCCGTCCTGCGTTTGCTGGCAAGGAGCGACCGAAATCGAGCCACTCACAAGCCAGGAAGTGGAAAAAAAAACACCTGTTTGTAGAGAAACTTTATTGTGTTCCGGGGGCCCGTTGTCCACTTCCATGATTATTTTCGGGGGAGGGCATCACCCTTCAAAGGCAAGGGCCACGACAAGTGCCCTGTTTTCCAGTGGCTGGTGTCCATCGCATCTTCTTCCGTCTCGGATGCCCAGTTTGCCTCCCATAGAGGCTGTTTAAAAGCTGCAGCCCCTCTCTCCTCCCAATCCACGCGTGCCAAGTCTGATCCGAGATCTTCTGCAAGAGTTGCCCGATAGAGCCTGAGAGAAAAAACTGCAGGACAAACTGAGAGGGAGGGAGAGGGAGAGAGGAGGGAGAGAGAGGGCGAGGAAGGGAGGTAATACGCACACTTGACCATTCTTGCACCACACATCCCAGCTCGTGTATATTCTGGTGTTGGACAACGTTGCAGAATCACCCATCATAATGCTGGAACCCTGCAAGATGCCTTGTGCGTCCTCCAGCCCCAACGGCGGACTTGCATCAAATGAATTAAAAGGTTGCACCCAGAAAATGAGAATCTGAGGACTGCCAAATGTGAATGATGTTACCTATGGTAACCTCTGAGTGAGTTCAGAAACAACATGTTATCTCCGTTCATGCCCCATGCAGCTCCCTTTTCCTGCAAAGCCCATGAACCACATGCTGCATCATTCCGTTTTGTTGCCTCCGGCCTTAGCGGTTGAAAGGGGCCCGGTTTCCGAGACATCAGAACTAGCAGCCTTCGGTCTGACCCAAACCCAGCGCCCAAGGTCTACCGCACCGTGCGCCCCACGCTTGGAAGGGGGTGTCGCATCCATCGCCACGCTGTGCCGCGCGGCACCGCAGATGATGCCACCGCATGCGTACGCTGTGCGTGGTGCGTACGCTGCGTACCAGGCAACTGGAGATTGGGCGCCCAAATGGCCATCAGCTTTTGCCCAATGCTACCTGGAAAGGCCAGGAAGGACCAGCTCCACGTACCAACAATGACCAGGTGGGACGCTAGGGGGGTCCAGCCAGACCTTTCTGAAGTGATTTTGGAGGCAAAACTTTGCCTCGAAAGGGAACTGTTTAATTTGGTGGTGCTGTCCCACGCAACATGTGTGAAGAAACCTCTGAAACCGTGTTCTTTCACGTGGTTGAGTTCTAGATGCCTCAACGAGTTCTTTGGCCTCAACGAGTTCTCCAAGCCACATGACGTCGTGTTGGCTTCCACGCAGAACTCGCAGGAGCCACTGGTGCGGTTGTCCTCGGGTCTAACGGAGCAAACAGAAAGATCATCAGGTATACCTAGATCCACCTGGTGGACGAAAAAAGTGCCGCTTTCCATATAGGTATACAATGTTTTCAAGAGTAGATAGCTGCACAAACCCCCACGGGTGCTTTATAATGGTTTATATCTGGGAGCCCCATAACCCATATACAGGACATCTTCGGGTTTGCGCCATCTACTCTGAAACCCCTGTAAGGTCGCGCATGAAACGGGGTGGCCTTCCAAAGTGCCCGGTTCAATGTCATAGCACGTCATAGTGCGGTCTGATTGCATGACACCTCACATCGATGATTCGATCTTCTCAGCCGAGTGACTGGGGAAAAGCAGCACACATATTCTGTCTTGGCGCGGCATGCAGTTGAAGACTCCGCTGTTAGCGGTAGAGGCCCCATGTCACAACCAAAAAAGCGCTCTGGCTCCTGCGAGCTGTGGACAGGTGGCCCTTGGCAAGGTGGCCCGAGAAGAGCACTTGGACTTGGTGACTAGGTGTCTACATAGAATGGGCGCATTCTTGGCTCCTTGTACTTTCTTGGTGGCAGTTGATAGGAAAAGCACAGGTCGATCAGAGTGTTCGGACTGCAACGACTCAGCGACTTGTTTAGACTGCATCGAAGTAGAAGCCAGCTGCAGCAGAGAGAAGCAGCTAGGCTCGTGTGTGCTAAGCTATAGAGATAGAAAAGTATAAAAACCCCTTTCGATATATTGGACACCTGGCCCACGCTCCATGTCTAAAACCCCTCTTTGGACACGTACTACCCAAAGAACCCCGGCCTGTGTGGAGAAGACCTCATTCTCTCGTCGAAGGCCTTCGGTTCTCCTCAGTTCCATCTCCTGTGCCGCCTTCTCCTGACTGAGGCGATAGAGCAGACGGGCACGCTCCGCCCCAAGGGACCGAGGGCGATAGGACTGCTCGAGCTCTTGCCTCAGACGTCTCAAGGCGGCAGGAGCAAAGCGGCCCAGTCGCAAAGGCCGTTTGTGAGGCCGGGTTCGAGGTAAGGAGAGGTCGATATCTGTAAGACATGCCTTTGGATTCGACGTTAGTAAGGCTATGGCTATGTCCATTTAATACGACGTGACAGGGGGGAGATTAAAACGAGTCTTGCGGAGTCTTGCCAGAAAACTTGAACCTTCGAATGGAATGCTCAAAGCACAAATCAACCAGGAGTCACAAAGGGGTGGTTTTAGTCCATTTTAGTCCCTAAGTGAATGGATAATGAGGACCCCTATCCTCCAAGTTGAGCACCCCTCTGTGACTCCTGGAACTTCTTGCCAGGTTTAGCTGAGCTGCCAAAGTCTGATGGAGCAGTAGCGTGGCCTGACAGAACTGTTCTCCCCACCCCTCCCGCTCTGTGACTACAGTGCCCCCCTGTTCTTCCTTTCCACACTTGAGCAGTCTGATTGGCATCAGGCTGCTGCAACCAGGAAGCCAAGGCAAGGCAAAGTATTTAAGAAATCGACCTACTTCGACCCAGCTTCTTCCCCAAACCAGCCGAAAGACGCAGCGCACATCACCGCACCGTTTCCGTGGTGTGTGTCTCTCTGCTCCGTTTCTGGGTTTTTCTCCGGTCACCGCCTCCGTGTAATGGGCAACTCCAAGGTCAGAGCACCAGCCCAGTTCTCTTCGATGTTCTGAGCGCCCGCCAGGTGTCCATGTTCAATAGGGAGACCCACCAACCAACCAACCAACCAAGGAAAGGTATGCTTTGGGTCTATTGGCCAAACCTGGAAGAAAGGGTCCTGAAGCACGGTGGTCGGTCTCCCTATTGAGTCTTTTTGAGTCCACACTCGAAAATGAAAACAACACAAGCCCAATGGCTCAAGCCGTCACAGACACGAACGGGTCGGACTCCCTGCTTGTTTTTTTCCCCGTCCTCTGCACCAGCGGGTGGGCTGTAGTGGACCATCGTGTCTCCAGGCTTCAGATAACAATCCTGATCCGTCTCATTCTCCCAAAGCCTAGAAGCAGCTGGAAGAGCTGAGGCGAGCGAGCAAGCCAGCAAGGGGATGATCGTCAGTTGCACATGACCACAAGTCATCACACATGGCATACCATTACTCCAAACATGTGCCAAACACATATAATATATATATATATCCTGTCTCTATAGACATACATATATATATATAGATAGATCTATCTATGAACAAACACCGCAACAAGTCACTCTCTTTCTTTATTTGTTTTTTCTTTCTTTCTGTCTGTCTTTCTCTTTCACTTTCTCTTTCTTTCTTTCCTTTTTTTTTTCTCTCTCTCTCTCTCTCTCTCTTATTCTGGCTTAGGAGCTCGTGGAAGCACACCTCCCGAATCGTAATGTCTGGGTTTGGTCCACTGGGCATGACACAAGAGTCATAGCCTTGGTCGCGCGTGCGGAGCTTGCCTGAGCAGCCTAACTTGTGACACAAACGGTTTTTCCTGTAGGTCATTTTGCTCAGGTTGGCTCAGTCAAGTGGCATGCTTGAAATTCACGGCGCATATTGTCGTTGCACTTCTCGTCTGCCAGAAAATACACGTCACGTGGATTGCATGGAAGGCTGATACACCAGCGGTACATGAAGCTGTGCCTCAGGCAGGCGTGCATGAGTCACAGCCCCGTGCAACAGCTCTTCGGACCTACAACTTCTGAAAGCTCCTCCCGCAGCAACCACTGCAGCAACCTTATTGGCGCTTGCCCTGCCACCATGCACGACAACACCATGCAGCACCCTCCCACAAGTGTCACCAGAAGCCTGCCAAATGCATGCAGACTTCTACCTTCCCAGTCCTTTGGACCTTCTCCATTGCAACCTTAAGGCCTCCACACCGGAAGATGCGACGCGACCCTCGCCATACGCCGTTAGCCTCTTACGCCGACCCTCCATGCACCAAGCCACGCATCCGCGAGATCTCTGCAGCGCTTCAATGCTTGGGACGTGGTGGCGATGATCGCACAGGCCTCGTGCACGGCGCTTCCCAGCGATCTGCCGACCGAATCGACCGGCGACGCATCGCTGCGGACGAAGAGTCATGCATGGGTGATGGATGGGCTGACTGGCTGACTGGTCGTTTTCAACACATGAAGACAAAGATCAATGGTACTAAGATGTACTAAGTGATCGATGAGTATATTTATGTATTTATTATCCTTTAATTGAAACTCCTTAAGAATTGCCCCATGGCCCAAGTGGAGAGACCTGGGGAGCAAAACGCTCTGTTGCTCCGTCGTTCGGTACGGTTGCATCCAGTCATGAAACCATCGGCGGACACGAACGGGCGAAGCTGAGGTCTGTGTGAGATTGGCCCGTGAATCGTCAAGCCAATGTCTACCAACAGAGGTTAAGTGACCTTTAGGACCCTACCAGGCTACCTATGGAATAGCCTATAGGCTTCTTCAACCTCTGTTGGTAAGTGTCAATGTTTTCCTCATGCTGGTCTGGGCAATTCCTTAAATTGTAAGGGGAGGGTACAAGTTGACAAGTACAAAACTTCATGCAACAAGGCAAGCCCCTTCTGGCAAGTTTCTGCAAGGTACAAACAAGAGTGTTGGTAGTTTAAGTTCACACCAGTCGCTGCTCGAGGCCGCCAATAAATCCAACCCAGCTGCCAACTCTAAGGGTCTCAACATCTCACGAGCATCAGCGCAATAATCGGTGTAAACGGCCCCTGTGATGCACCCAGCACGTCGGCTTTGCTGCCTCGGACGTGAGGAGCATGAGAAGAATACGGATGTGCCAAACATCTGCATGCCTCTCACAAGGCCTAGCACAGTCCAAGAGTTTGGCAGCTAGCAATCATGCTCAAGGCCCAGGACCTTCCCAGAAGAAAACCTTCTTCGGGGTTGCATACCAAGCTGCGGGCACATCCCTTCCACACAGCCGCAGAACCTGGACGTGCTGGCAGTTGGAGAAACGGCAGTGGCATACCACCCACCCGCCATCCGCCAACTCAGGCAGCAAAACTGACCCAAATCAGCGAAGGAAGAAGAGCCCCACTCCGCGCTGATATGGAACCCAAACAGTACCTGTTTCCAAGACATAGGTAGGTGGGGCAGCTGTTGACCCCATCTAGTTCTGCACCAAAGCCAAGACCTGACCTGCCTTCCACCACATTGTCCAACCTAAAACCTCCCCCTTCGGCATGGCAAGGCACATGTTGTTCTGGAACTGGTCAGCAATACAGTCACCTCTGTTCCTGGCAGCTGTCGCACATCCGGACTGAGGGGGGGCCCATGGGAAGTACCTTGAACATCTTCCTGCCACCTCTCCGGGTCAGTAGAGGAGACTCCCTGTCAGCCTGTAGCAGTTGGAGGGCCCACATCTCTCACCGGCAGTCCTGATCTCGTGATGCCAGTTGCAACCTTCCCTGCTTAAGCACTGCTCCCGCGTCACCTTCCAGGAGACATGTCTCTTAGACTCAGGATGCTGCCCAACTTCACACCATAATGCAGAGGGATGATGCTGGATGTCTTTGTTGGGCGAACTTGCAATTCACATAAGCATGAAGATGCCCAACATGTAACAGAGAGGATTAGCCCCAAGCCCGCCGTGCCTAGAAAGTGCTTCGTGACTGCCAAGTGAACAAGCACCAGTGGCGAATAATTAGTGATGATCTATAGGAATCCAGGATGCACGAGGTTTCTACTTGCAGGGATGCTTGACAAAACTGTCCGGCCTGCACCCCTGGTGTAGCATAGGGCCCAACACACACAAAGGTGGAAGGCGTGTCCTGGCTCCGCGGCATCCGAACGAAGAGCGGAATGGCCCCACGAAACGCAGAGCGGAGCGCGGTTGACCTTGTTCCATGACTTGCGACCCACGGTGTCGTTCCTGAAAAATGGTCGGGGCCTTTTCTATTTCTCAAATCATCGTTCTGTCGACCCGTCCATTCCCAACACATGACACGCTCTGACTTGAGTTAAAACAAACCAACAAACTGATAGACTTCTAGAATGTATCTGAACACATCTTTCTTCCAGTGACCCCAACGTGAATCCCCTGTAACATGCCAAACATGTTCCAGGTGCCCAACGTTACCACACACCCCCCGCGTTCCGCACCCCGCGCACCCCGCGGAACCCGCGTTCCAGGTGCCCACCCCTCCGCCCCCGTGCCGAACTCGGGTCCGTGAGTGCGGTCAGGACATTGGCTTCGTTGCGGTTGCGCACATCGACGTTGAGCTCGGCAGCCAGGAGCTCGACCACTTCCTTCCCCACACGCCGGGAGAGGCAACGCACCAAGTAGACATGACGACCTGAGAGGGGAGAGGCGACAGCGAGAAAAGGGAAGAACAATGAAGAATATCGGATAGGCTGCGCTATAATTATCCATGATTCGCAGCTGTGCTTCGGATAGGTATTCTTTAAACGTTGTGAGCAAGTGGATGGACTTCTTCACGGCCGCTCAGATCCTTTTTCGGCCTTTGCTGGCCGCTACCACGGCGCAGTTCGTATGAAGAAATTTGGGGCCATGGGTCCTGGCCACATGAAGGCCAGGCTAGATGACGAGCGGATCAAAAAGCATGCGCCACACAAGTGGCCACTGAAGACTCCAGCTCAGAAGCCCTCTGCCAACTGAACCTTCTCGAACTGCTTCTTCTTCAAGACGAAGCTGAGCTGGGCAATGAAGCAGGAGAAGGCGAACGCGCAGTAAGCATAGACCCGGTTCATGTCCTGAGAAGAAGCTGGGTCCAAAAATCAACAAACCCGTTAAAGAGAATTCGTGTGCATAAAAACACCTCTCTCGACCTCATTTGACCAGGTCGTTTTTTTCAACCTCTGGAAGTCCTGCAGGACGCACTCCTTCTCCTCCTGCCCGAAGCCTCCCACATTGGGATTGGTGGTGAGGGGCTCGTCCTTGGTCACCTCATCGCCCACCTGCACCACAATGTCAGCACCTGAGCTGCACACATCTAGCGGGTCCGCTGAACTGCACACATCTGCACACATGCGACCAGCTGGTCTACGGCTCTCCCAGAATTGGTTTTCAGATATTTTAAGATGGTTTAAGGGAACATCTATGAACACCTACAGGTAAGCTGTAATTTTTGGCAGTGAAAACAAAGGTTTCCTCCAGATTTCCCTTAAGCCAATTCATTGCCCAGCCATCGTCCCAGTGTGAAGCGAAACCGTCCGTTTCATCGTCTTAGGACCTTCGGGGATGAATACGCAAAACCATGGTGGTATACGGCGGCTGAGGCCCTCGACCAGGGGGAGAAAGAAGAATTACAAAATATGTATAAATATTATATATATATACATACTATACTACACACTATATACTTATAAGTATGTATATATATATCCCATATTGTACCTCGAGTTCGTGTCCCATCAGGTCTCTCAACCTCGATCTCCCACGACCGCTGTGACCCGAGGCAACCAAAACCGCGCCGGCGACGCGCCACGCACATCGGCGACCGAGGTAGGGACCGACCAAGCATTCCTGGGTCTTCACCTCGCCACTGGGTGTGGTGATACTCACCTGCAGAAGGTCCAAGGAGTCCAGATCGGGAGTCCAAGTGGTGCGTTTTTCAGGGACCTTTGGAGTCTTGGAGCCTTGGAGTCGTCGCGAATTCTCAAACACACCGGGCCCCTCAACACTTGTGCTGAATTCTCCTTGGCATTTGGAGAATTCACGGTCCGAAGCATGAATGCGCTTATACACCTACAGTTGAACTCAAGCCCTTCATCTCAAGTCCTTAGCTTGAGTGCCCAGCTAGACTGCACAGTCCACCCAAGCCCACCTTCAGGCCATCGATGGCAGAGATAGTGCCGGTGGCTGCAGCCATGAACTGGTTGTTGTTGCTCTGGTTGCCTTCAGGGTAGACCTGGCCACGTCCACGGTTGCCGCCGAAATAGAAGATGCCCTTGCCGAAGAGGATCCTTGCAAGTCAGACTGACCGTATGCCGGGTGCATGAGTGAATGATTGCATTTGTGGCGCGGCACTGTTTCTTCAAGCCTATACGCCCTGGAAGACTAACATGGACCCTGAAAACCACGGTTGGTAGAGAAAAACACTCTTCCAGGGGGCCATTGTCAGGGTCTATGTTAGTTTTCGGGAGTGTATATTCTTGTTGCTTCGATGCCATCCAAACAACCAATGGACCAAGGTGCTTGTCATCAGTGTTGGGATCCGGGGACAAGACTGGGAGCACCATCTTCTCGTAGGTCTCACCAGGCACAGGTCCAGCCACCACAATGTTGGGATACTCCTTGCTGTAGGGAGCCCATGACAGGCCCTTCATCTCCTTCTTCAAAGGCTTAGGGAGGCGGTCCTTAGGGGCCAGCTTCCAGCCCTCAGGCATCACGGCGATGGCACCGATGTTCATCGGACCCTTGGAGCCATCGGCCAAGGGCTGCCGGCGCTTGGCATACTTGGCAGGCACTTCGATCTCCATCTTGAAGATGGTGTCTGGGAGTACTGCCTGGGGAAGCTTCACATCGATCGTCTTGCTGGCCAAATGGCAGTTGGCACACACAATCTTGCCCGTGTACTCACGAGGGTTGGCATAGTTCTGCTGGGCGAAGATGGGGTAAGCCACTGCAGCTTCCATGGAGCTGGTGAAAAGCATCGCTGCAGAGGCGCCCGCCAAAGCCTGCTTGGCAAAGGCCTTGGTACAGCATCACCCACCAGCTCATCCAGCTGCTCAAACCAGCTCCAAGTTAGTTGCAACCCTCATCACTAGCACGAAGCACAAGCAGCAACAGTTCTCCGGAAGCATTTTCAGGCTTAAAGCTTTAAGGCCCTGGCCTGGATTCCCTCCATGTGCTGGTCCGTCTCCTCGGGGGTTGGGGCATCCACACCATTCAGCTGCGCGCGGCACGCCACCAAGTGGTCACGGTAGTAGGACTCTCCGAAGTTCTGGACCTTAAGTCCGAAGTTCGGGACTTCTTCAGGAGAAGGGAACATCCTTCAACGACTGAAGTCCTTCAAACGACCTCACCCCCTTCCCCTCCAGTGCTCCCAAGCTGCCACATTCATGCCCTGGGAGCGGCGCTCGCGGCGGTGGCTCCGGCGCACAGCCGCGGCCGCAGCCAAGGCACCGGTGGCCAGAGCAGTCACGCTGCCCGCGTGACCCGCCTGGCGTGGGAGCGCCGCCGAGGGCGCTGCCGCGGGTGCAGCGGCAGGAGCCACCACGGAGGGGCCAAGCACTGTGAAGGCGGAGCCCACGAGCGCCATATGGAAGAAGTGAAGAGAGGGCTGGGGCGCTGATGCGAGGGGGGTGCTGTGGTGGCTTGAAGCTGAAGAAATCACAGATCGATCAAAGTCAAAAGTGGTTCCAAAGTGCAGATATATACTCCGTGTGCAAGTGCAACTGTGCAAGTGGGTGCACTTCACCCCACATATATAGGCAAGAGGATGAACACACACGCACACTACTTACTACACGTTTAAACGCAAAGTGTCCCTTTCCTTTCTGCCTCAAAGGACAGTGGTCACAATGCGACAAGTGACTGTCAGATGGCACGGTGCAACGGCCCAAGACCAAGGGTTTGGAGCGGCTACCTTGCTTCAAAGCCACCTTGACCTCAGCACGGAAGGTCAGGCAGCATGCAACTGCCATCAAGCAAAACATAGTTTAAGTGCGCCCTGAAAGATTCACATGGAACCTGAGAAAAAAGAAACACTGGTTTGTGTTCGAAAGCTAGTCTTCCATTATAAGGCCCATGTTACAGTTTACATGTTCATCTTCATCTTCCCTGCCTTTTACCGTAAAACGATGAAAGATCACATCGCTTCACCTTCTCTGTGGGAACATCTGCTTTTGCATCATCTCGCAGTCAGACTCGTCCGGCCTTCAAACTCTCCAAGACAGGCTTTCGGCATCGGGTGAAGCAGTCGGAATCCACCAAGCAAGGCAAGCCCACATACCTGAGTGGCCGCCTTCTGTGCTGAGAAGCCACAACAGACTGGCGCAAGTTCCCAATTTGAATGATCCTGGCCGTACTTCTGGAATCACAGAGGCAAGGAGGAACAAAATCATGACAAAGATTAGTTGATCCGATTGACACATTGAACTCCTACACCACTCTTCCAAGAACACAGGATGAGACTATTTCCACCGCCTACTGTCTGGCCGCACCAGCACCAAGAAAGAGAAGTGGAGCAGCACTTCCTGACAACCAGCTTTCCTCCTAATTTAATTCCGGTAAACCCCAACTTTGGCACCACCCAAACACCAAGAATGAAAACACTTGTCTGTTGACTTTCTTTCACCTGGCTCTTGTCTACTCTACTGCTGTCCTCGTCGTTTTCTTTGCCAAACACACGCGCGCGCGCCAGCCGCGCCACGCCCTTTCGACCTCCCCTCCGCCCCTCACCGCGGCCCAAGGCGCTGGCCCAGCTCGCGGTCGAAGCGGCCCATGACGTCCACGTGACACTGCTCGATGGAGCGCCACATGGCGGCGTTGGCTTGCTCCTGCGGGTCATGCGGGTCGGGAAAGGCGGCGGGTTCACCACCGCAGGCCGTTGGACCGGTGGAAACGGGTCGCGGCGTTGGAGGTCTTGGGAAAGGACAGGACTTGGCTGCGTGACTCATCAAGCTCCTATAGATGAACGGGATGTCAAATTCACATGGGGGGGGGGTTAGATGGTTTATGAATCAAGGGCCTACCAAACATTCAATCCCCCCAGGCCTGAAGGGGCACAAGAACACAGAAGCCTACAAACAAAATGGCTGAGAGTCGAAAGTCCAGTCAGAAGGTGCATCTCGTCAAATGCATCACGTTCACTCACCCCCGCGCTCCACGAAAAAACTCGAACAACCAACACTCATCTTTTTTGGATTCTCCGTGCTGCGTCATGTCTCCTGCAGGGCCAGTTGCTTCCAGCTGATCTGCGTCCCACTGGGTTCCACCAAGCGCCGCTGCCAGGCGAGCGCTGCCTGGATGGCCGTCTTCACGTAGCTCCCATGCGCGTCTCGCCGGCAACGCGCCAACGACTCGGCGGGGAGCAGGGTGAAGATGTGTCCCACGGTTCGGTTCAAGTGTTAGGCATAGGTGACCAGGAGTTGTTGTTTAACGATGCCTCTTCTGATTCCAACATCGTTGGTCTGATACCTGGTCTGATGTTGAACCGAACTCCTGTGGATTTCACATCTCCTTGGAGACTATGAGCGCCAAGTGGCCTCGGGCTTCACAGAGGCCAGGACGGGCTGCTCGATGGTGTGGACACTCTTGGCACAGCACTGCTGTCGAAGTCGCTGAAGATTGCAGCAAGGATCGAAGAAAAAGGCCTCGGGACAGGACATGGAAGTGCTTGTTGAATTGATCCGTATATAACCACCCTGCAGCCACCTCATGGCTGGGCCACATGACTGGGCTTGCCACACATGAGATCCACGAAAATCCCAACGTCTTGAGCTAGAGCTGTGACTAGCTGTGATTCCATCGCCAGGGCGGAGATGAAAACCCGCCCCCTTCATGTCCATCAGTTCTCCGCCTCTTCTGACCTTCTCCGAGGCACGTTGTCCTCAGGGTCCTTCATACAGCTCTGAGATTCCACAGGCACCTGCGAAACCTGGAAGTTCAGCGCGTGCTCCATCATGGACCAACATCCATTCACTTCCTGGGCTGAAAACAAGTGAGTCGTTCGGAGAGGGGCGAGGTGAGGCAAGGTGAGGCGGCTAGGCCAAATCAACCGCTCACGGTATATAGCAGGACTAAAACCACCAGGTTCTTTAGATCTGCTGGTATCCTAACCACGGGCAGGACATGGGACACCTTGACCATCAAGGGAACAATGATCAAGCAGCAAGCACAAATTCGTGGCCAGCATCATCTGAGGCTGTGTAGGACACTGCCCGCTCTCGCGTGTTCTGGGCTCTCAGCCGTAGCTGCCAACGATACACAGAGCAGGGCATCTGGTCCTAGAAAACAGCCAACCAGGGCATCTAGGGACTATGGGAGTGCTACAAGTGCCTCCTCTTCAATGTTCCCACCCCTGTCTACTCCGAACATGCGCCTGTTGCAAGAAATCTCACACCCCCCCCATGCCAAACAAAGTGGAGAGTGGCTGCAAACATCACTTCGGCCCTTCCGGATGCCCGCACACACACCCTATACATGTTCCAATCAGCCATTTTTCGAGCTGGCTTGGGGGCAGGTGATCGCAAGACCCTCAACCTCTCCTTCAAGGTCGGAGTCACAAAGTCCCTGCGGTATGACCTTGGTCTTCTGAAATGCAGGTCTCATATAGACAACGGCATGCAGGTCGGCCATAGAAAATGGCTTCGTTGACAGAGCTTGCTCGCGGGACCACTGCTCAGTGGTCTGTGCATGATGCTGCCAGGGTCGGGTGTTGGGTGACCTGCTCCGCTCCGAAGGTGACCTCCTTATTTAGATATATATAGATATATGCACTTGTCTGAATATAGTTAGTTATGGCATTGATTCACAAACAGTCAAAACACAGTGGACACATCAAGCCCACTGCCTGTCATGCTCTCCCAAGAGATCCTTCCATGACCTGCATCTGACCTGCGGTTTCCCCTGGTCCTTCTACCAGGCCACAGGATTCCCACTTTCCGAAAGCGCTGCGGCTTGCTTTCACTGGTGTAGGGCGAGTAGGTCTGACTCTGATTGGGGTCAACGCCCCAAACATAGTCCTTAGGCACACACACAAATATGTCGTGTTTCTACGTATATATACACAATCTCCCCCCCCACCCCCCCCCCAAAAAATGCAAATTCTCTGCAAGCTTGAGCCCAGTCTGGCCAAGCGTCAATTCTTAATTGCCGCTGGTTTGAAATCACCAGAGGAAAAAAAAACAAAGAACTGAAAAGTCAGACCCGTAGGCAGCAGCTAGAATCAACTATCTTCATCAACTATCTTTTAATTAGCTTCAATGTAGACTTAGGAACTTAGGGGGTTGTGTTCTTCTCGATCAAACAAATTCCATCCAAGAATCTCGCCCTGAGGTCCCACCTGGTCCACCGCTACCACGCGCAGGGAAGGTGGTTCGCCAATCTGAGACACCTCAAGAACAAACCCGTGGAGTTGGCTTCAACCATCAAATCCTGGTTCGTGAAGCGAAATACTTGTCTAGAGGCATCATGAATCCGTATTTTCAAACATGCACAGGCACGGAGTGTGAGACACAAAGCTTACCAAGCTCAGGAAAGTTCAGATCTTGCCTTCCTCAGCACGTCTGCTAGGATGCATTTGTTGTTCACTAAAGACCCCAAAAGTTGAACAGTTGAGCTCCGATGGGCTATTTCATCAACGCTGCACGAATGCTTTGACTTTCCAGCAATATCTTGTGGTCACGGATTGCCAAACGAGGCACAGTGCCCAGATTGCCGACCAGCCATCAAAACTTGATCCATCACTGCTTTCATCTGCCGATGGGCTGCCTCAGGATCTGGTCACGACCGAATGGAGTCACTCGTGACCACTCATTGTGCTGCCTTCGGGCGCACACCGAATGGAGTCACTTGCCAATTGGTGAGTATAGTTGTAAAAATCACGAAAAATGCAAAGGATACAGAGCTACAGATTGGTTTGCGTAGAGTTGCGAACAATGCAACCCGTGTTTTTTGAATACACTCGTGGACTCGACTGGTGGACTTTTGTGAATGCACAGCAACTCCACCCATACAAGAGCCGTCGGCTCTCGAGCCAGGCTCGTCGGAAGTCCCCGGCCTCGATCTCATGACTCTTGCAAGGGAACTTCTTCTCGGCCAAATTGCCAATGCTGGGGACACTCTCCTCAAGCAAGGTCGTGGGACGCGTCGTCGAAACCCGCGTCACGCCAAAGGGCCCCAACCAAACGGCTCCGACGTCTGACAAAGGCAACAGTCCAGGTGGCTGGGCTCTTGGCGCTCTAGTCTGCATGTGGACATGAAATTAGCATGTGGAGCTCATTCTTACTTGGGTGAAATCGGCATTGTGACATCTTGATTGGCAATGAATGGGCAGTCTGTTAGTCAGAGTATGTTGTGTCAGGCTGGCAGCCTAACAGTTTTATTGAATCAAGCCTCTGCAGGCTCTCCATGTGGCCCAGTCAGGAAGGGCAGTTCCAAGCGACAGGGCCCAAGCTCCTGAACAAGCACATTCACAGTCGGACTCTTATCATCTGCAACAGTGGGACACTGATTGTCAAAGATCTCTGAAGTCTGGAAGGTGATGATTCTCCAATTTCTATCCAATTTCTCGACCAGCCAATGTCTTTATTTGGAACTTCAGGTGAACAGTCCTATTCTCAGTCTGACCTTGATCCTGGATCTTCTAAATGACACGTGCTTCGGACTAAATCAACGTCTATGAACAAAGATCTCAACCCTGCAGACCGCCATCCTCAGACCTCTGCTCCACTGGTGTTTCTCGCAGAGAGCTCCTGAAGGGTGAGCCCCAGCTGTCGAGTTCGGCCATTCTTCGTGCGCCTCACCGGCAGCAAGAAGACCGCCCGCCTGGGAGCCGACGAGGAAGCGAGAGCGAGTCAGTGCAAAGCTTCCGAGGTGGATGAAGGAAGACCTGCAAACCTCTCAGTTGGGGGGAAGATCCATTCTGTGCGAGTTCTTGGTGAGTTCTGTGTGAATTCTTGGTGAATTTGTGGCAGGCAGATCTGCTCACATCTGCAGATCTAGACCTTGGAAGGGCCCCGGAAAGGGGCCATGAATGAATTGCTTGGCGCTGGAAACGCCCACCTGCTGTTGTAGGACTTCGATGCGTTCGCCAGTAAGCGATCAATGTCTTCCACACCAAAAGCTGTCTCCATTCGCCGGAACCACATCAGTGAATTGTCCTCAACCAAACGCGCGCGATGGGCGGACATGGGACAAGACATGGGCGGACATCGTATCAGGAGGCGATCTCTCGGCTGGCTTAGACCTTATAGTTGACCCCGCCTGAGATCGCCTGAGGAACCTGCAAGAAACTGGGTTCAGCCATCGCCTGGTACGTTTGGATTGGCTTTACTGGTGCTTGCCACTGAGAACTCCTGAAGGCCCTCTGGTTTCTGCGTGGTGCTCAGAGCACATGTGGGGGGAAAAAGGCCAGATTCTTCCAGAGATTCTGCCATTTTTTTGGAAGACGTCCACTGTCGCACTGACATCTCACTGATGAACAAGTGTCCAAGGGCTGGCCATTGATCCCGAACCGTCGGATTCGGGCCAAGGCTGGAGTCATGTTCGCCTGGAGTTTCTGCTGACTCAAACTGCGACAAAGCTCCATGTCATTCCAAAAAAATCAACGAAAACAAAAGGCTTTATACAGAAAAGAGCTATCATCATCCCAGATTCAGTGTCATTCAAATTCAACGAGAATAGCTATGAAACCCAGCTTCTGATTCAAAATCCTTCGCCAGCTTCCGCACCTCGTTGGGACACTTGATGGTCGCAATCAGTGCATCGAACTTCCAGATGGCCGAGGAATAGATCTCCTGGACACGTCTTAGGACGCGCCATGCTACTATATAGACTCTATAGACATGACACGTCTCACGAATGGTCCGTTTTTGGAACCTGCAAAACGAACTTGCACAACACACATCATGCTGCATAAACCGATGCGTGACAGCACACATCCTCCCCTGATGTTGATGCCTCATTGGAGGTTCCTTTGTTTTCTTCTTGCAGTGGTTTCAAGAGTAAATAGCACAGACCCCAAGATGTCCTAGACAGATGGGGGTCCATATAAAACCACCAAACTGGGGTCTGTGCCATTGGTCCTCTCAATCCACGTCTACCTTTTTGTTGGTTGGTCTTCCTCTGGTTTCCACTGCCCTCTCCATCTCCCGCCGGTCCCTGGTTTCTGGGATGCTATGGATGAAGGCAGGTCGTCGATCTGTGAGAACTGCAAAGCCCTGATCTCCAGGCCATGCTTGAGTTCTCAGCTGCATCTCTTCATAGCCTGGCCATGGGGAGGAGGAGCGACCGTTCCACAGGAGCCGACCGTTCTGGACGATTCTGGCAGTGAGGCAGGTGAAGCAGGCGCCCAAGGCGCCCAGCTTCACTCTCCCAACCAGGGCGCAACCCGCTTGTTCCAGGTTCTGACACCAAGCAGCTAACACCACAAATGCACTCTGGTTCAGACTGCAACTTTGGCAGCAGGTCAGGGACATACCTCCGCACGATCAGAAACAAAACAGGTGCAACATGTGAGGGAATCTATGCATATGTAAATGTATAGTGCAAAGAAATAACTCCTCAGCAGATCTTGAAACAAAGATATGTCAAAACAGTATAGACAAGCGCCGAAGACAGTTAATTAGGTATCTGTGCATCTGATAAAATAGAATAAAAGTATCTTTAAACATCTTTAAACATACAGTATTCCTTTAAGAGATGTGCAAGGAATTTTGATAGATGACGTGTTTCTCTCTTTAAAAAGTGTTATTCAGTGGTTATTTGTTCCGTCATTCTCGTGCCGCGCCACGGGAAGCGGCTGAAGGCCGCCGAGAGCGTGCAGCCGGGAGGGCAGGAGGCACAGCGCTGGGCCTCGCTCACGTAGACGGCGTTGAGCGGTGAGCCACAGCTGGTGACATAGACGGGAGCAGAGAAGCGCAGGTCAATCTCAATGTATTCCTCGGGCCGTTTTTTTCGCCACAAAGAATGAAGCTGTGTTCTTGGAAGCTACGAAACAGGAAAAAGAAGTGGAAAAAAGGCGCAGAGCTTCGAAGAGCGACATGAGTGGGCTTGAAGGTGCTTGAAAGGTGCACCTCCTAAAGCCGAGCACACGACCATGCAAGATCAGCCAAGATTCCAGAACTTCATCTTGCACCTCAGGGCTGACGCTGGACTTCAAATGCCAAGAAAAAAAGGAGTGTTGCGAGTCGGCCCCTCATCACAGCAACTCTCTTCAATCTTGAGTGAGTTGAAGTCCTGTAGACTCTTGATGAACAAAACCATCCCATTTGGCCAAAGCTCTTAATATCTCTTAACATACGGGGGAGGCATGGGGAGGCTTTTACTATCGAGAGGGTCTACTTCGACCGGACCCCCCAGACTTCGGTCTTCACCCAAGGCACCATGAGACGCCGCTCCGCCCGCGTGGACGCGGTGATCTGCAGTCGTTGCCCGGACGCGGAGCTGAGGCCCAGGAAAAGGACCCAAAGCACCAAGCTGCACATCCCCCACGGACACCCCAACCATGCTGTCATAGCAGGAATCTGCCCCTGCCCGTTCGGAAGCGTCAGGGGCACAAAGATCTTGGTCAGGTGGGGAGAAAACGGAAAGCGGTGGAATTTCAAGAAGTGTCGGACTTTTTGAAGCTCATGTGCTGCGTGTCCTCGGATCTTTTACAAAGCATATCACGCGACGACCAGGTCCCGCCTAGGCGGGGCGCGGGTCGCACTAGGTCGCCCCCCTCATCGTTCCCTTCCCCCCAGTCGCTCCGACCCCGCTCCACCCTGACAACCAAGTCTGAAACAGATCAGGTGGGCTGAAGGTGAAGGAAGGGTCGTCTGATGTCGTAGTTGATGTGTTGTGAAAAAAGCGCTCGTCATGTGGCCTATTGGGCCACTGCTATGTCTGTACGCTTCATGGCTTTACTATGATTCTCGGGAGCCAAGAACAGCCGCATTGAAATTGAGAAAACATACCGGGAGCATCTACAGCAATAACAGTAATAATGCAACCTCCAGACACACTCCTGAAGGATATGGAAGGCCTGGGGGTACAACAGAATGCTTGGATGCTGGTTAGTGTCTTCACTGCAAGGATGCAAGGACTTCAATGCATTGCACAGCTCTTGAACATCTTGGAATGACCCCACGCTGGCCTGTGGCATGCACCATGCTTGTCCCGCAGTTCAACGAACCACCGCGCCCGACCCGTTGAGTTCAACGCAGACCAGCACAACACCCCGTCGGCTTCCAAGGTCGAGGCCCCGAAGCGTTGCGAACGCAGGTGCGGTGCTGGCGAACCTTAACATCATGACATCAAAAGAGGGGAAGACATAGAGAGGGAGCGACAAAACAAATGAGACTTCGCCAACTTGATTCTTGGGCACTCCTCCAACCTCTCACGTTCTGCAGAAAGTATCTCACAAAGTTGCATCAGAAAAAGCAAAAAAAAAAAAACATGAGGAACGAACATGCATGCTAATATGTGGACCTGGGGCAAGTGGCTAAGGCCAGTGTCGTCAGTTGCGCTTTTCTCCACTCATTCCTCTGGCCCCGTCGTTTTGAGCCAGGAGTTGAGCCAGGACAGCTTGTGACAGCCATGGCATGCGCCGGCTTCTCGCTGACTTGTGAGTTGACAGATTTCTCCTCCCCCTACATGAGCGAGGCGAACTACGTGCGTTTTCGGGGTCTTGGGCGTTTATTTTCGTGATTCATGGCATCTATGACCAAGTGAAGTGGATCTTCTGGAGGATCCCAGCCTTGGCATCACCTACTACTTCTTCTTGACACATCAGTCCCATTGGTGCAGTCCTTGGGCCAAATAAAGGGGTGGAGTTGTGCCTCATCATGCTCTAAGGGAGAGGTTCCATCCTTATGGTTGTCAAAGACCTCCATGCTCTGCTTTGCAGTGGGGCAGCCAATCTCACTTCTGGCGACAGTAGGTTATTGGATCCTAGTTTGGCCAGAGGTGCAGTCCGGCGAGCAGGAGGTGACTTACTTGTCCGTCTACAATCATGGCATCAATGGCTTGCTCTTGTTGGTGAATTTCATGATCAGCCGAATGCCATACACCTCTTCCAATGGCGGATGGGTCATCCTTGCTGGTTTGCTGTATCTTGCCTTCACCTACGTGCACTTCCTGTTGCACCTGGGAATGGTCAAGGACTGCGATGGTTATGAGGATAAACGTGACCGTCCCATCTATTCTCAGTTTGATTGGCACAAGCCCGAAAAGACCGGCTTGCTTACTCTCCTTGCAGTGGGCATCTTGCTGCTTGTGATTCTGCTGTACATGGGCCTGGCTTCCCTAACAGACCGCTGCGCACGCTGCGGTGCTTCCCTCGCAGCCGGTGGCATGACTGGTGAAGGTGAGGTGAAAGAGCTCCTAGATGTGGAAGACCTGCTGAACGAGCCGAAAGTCACTGAGCCGCTGAAAGGACCGAAACCCTGGCCTCTTCAGGTGCCACGTGGGGTCTGAGGCGGGCACCGAGAAAACCAGGTGCTGGCCTCCCTTGTTTTTCTTCGTCCAATGCCTTCTGAAGGCCTGGGCGGCCTTGCTTATACAGTACCGCGGTGTCCCTGTTGCGCATTCCAAGTGTAGTGTGCTTTGGGGGCCTTCTGCGCTCCAGTGAACTGATCGTGGCAGGCGGGACGACCGGAGGCGAGCGAGGTTACATAAGTTGTGAATATGTTATATAGGTTGTCCTGCGAAGCATGTGCACCATTACATGCGTCTCGTGGCATCCCCGCAAGACTGGGCGTCATGAAATGATTTATGCAGACCATAAACTTGAAATCCTTTATCTGTAAAGCCCCTGCACCAAAACACTGAAAAAGGTCGGATAAAATGTATCAATCTAGAAGAGAAACATCTGGCACAAAGCTGCAAGCCCAACAAATGCCGGGCAACAGGAGGCGCGGCATTCTGTGTTATGATGCATGGCCTCGGCCGAAAACCATGGAGAGGAGTTTCAATTGGATGGAAAGCTGCTTTTTGGCCCTGGCTCTTGGTGTGGAACTGCTAGTTGTTGCGACAGTTGCGTCTACCAGACTACCACGGATTCCATGATTCAAGGCCCGCGCATCCTCCGCTTTTGATAAGACGCCCACTGCCAACGTTTCAACCGTTAGGTCGGGCTATAGGGGCCGATGATAGGCCTGATGGGCTCCCTGATAAGGGGATTGAGCAGGCTGTAAGGGGAACCATTCAATCACACTCTGCTCAACAGCAAGCCTGGCCGTCCGCACTGGCAGGTCAGCGAGAGCCTAATTCGGAGCCGCTTGAGCCCCAATGAGCGCCAAAACCGGCCACCGTGCCAGCTCCCAGAAGCGGTGACCATCAAGAAATCATACAATTGAAATTCGGCAGGTCGACACTGAATAAAATGAAGCTGTCCCTTGGTATCCCCCTTGTGCATGTCCATGCATTTCCATAGGTTCTACAAAACTGCATCAAATCGCAACGGAGATGGTCAATTGCAAGACAAAATGGCCCAAGGTTCATCGACTAGGCTTAGCAGATCTGAGTACTATATATAAATGCGGATGATTCAGCCAATGAGGGAAGGTTTCCAGTCCAAGACGGTCCAACTACAACGTAGCCAGAGCTCGTGCAGCTAGTAATCGCAGGAATGAAAGTGGAACAGTCCAGTTCCGTGCCACTCACGCTTCAACTTCTTGGTCTTCAAAGCCAGGGGAGAGACCCAGGCAGCTTCCCCTACTCGGCTGCGGCTGCGCTTTTCCCCCCCTGGGCGTTGTGCCAGCTCATGCTGGCCGAGCAAAGCACCAAACACCAAGCCATGCCAAGCCAAACCTTGGTTTTTGGCCCGACTGTTGTGGGTTAACAAGGTCGACCAATCGCTCCGTCGCATCGAAGCTGCGGCTTTCAAGAATCCTCATGGATGTCCCGACTGTGCAACAAGTCTCGAACAACCAAACAAAGCTCCCGCACTCCAACTCAATCCATTGCACTTGGCCAACGCTCTTGCAGTTTGACCCTTTCCCCCCATTCTTCCCCCCCCCACCCCGACGTCGCTCTGCCGGCTGTGCCACGCTCCGCCGCCATCGCGTTGAGCGAGAGCATGCGCAGCCTGCCCTCCACGGCGCTCTGCTCCAGCTGATCAGCACACAGCCCCGGCCCAGCGGCGCGCAAGCCCTGCTGGGCACCCAAGCGCGAGGCCCTGGACCTGCAGCCGACGGACCCTGCGAGTGCTTGCGATCGATCGCAGGGTCTGAACGAATTGATCGATTGAATCCCCTGTCAATGGTATGCTCGTTTCTACCATAGAGGGGATTCAACATCGAGGGGATGATCCCATGGTTTCCAATACTCTGCTTTCTTGAATATGTTCACCTTTAATTTGTGTAAAGAGACCATGAAATAGAATAAGATATGGCTTTGAACAAGTGAATCCTAAAGTTAAAAGCCAATGATAAAATATATGGACTCGTTATGACTCGTTTCTAGTACTCATGGTCACTGGTCAGACGATGAAGCACGCGTGGAAACCTCGTGGGTTCCACGTCCTGGACGGCGCCGAGCGGTGAGCCGCCACTCGTCCGAGGCTGCCGCGACCGAGGCGCGGTCCATCTGAAAGTACCAAGGGAGGTCAAGTGACCTGAACTGGGACCCTATAGTGGTACCATGTGGTACCTATGGGATAGCCTATAGGCCTAGGATGGGCTCTTTCCCCTTTTTTGCTGAGCGCCAGACGCGAGATTCCGACGCGAGATTCCGACGCGACAGACCGACCCGGGCGATGGCTTGTCCAAGTCACAGAGGCACGAAGATCTCTTCCCTCAGGCCACGCCCAAAAATGTGATCCGTGTGCCGGCGCACCGCCAGCAATTGCTCCGGCTGGAGGACCAAGTGATCTGCCATGCCTGGAGCAGGTCCACTACCCAGCTTGGGCTTTCCCAGGTCGGCCAGATGGAACACAGGAGAGCAGAAATTGAAAGACATGTCAATGTCCAATTGCCTCTGAGTGGGGAAAGCTACTAGTGACTTCTCACATGGTGTCACCATCTACGTCAAAGGAAGGAAGACGCCCACAGTTCGAGATGGATCAGCTCACAAGCTCCGCCGAACAATGTCGAACGAACTGAGTGGCGATCACTTTGTTGAACAGAAAACTTCCATCCTACCCCAGGTCCCACCTTTCATGGCCTCTTCCTTGGCCATTGGCCCATGTGTTTCAACCAATACTCGCCCAGCCTTGAGATCCCAACCGCTGCACGAAGGCCTCCAAAAGCCGATTCTCCAAGCGGCTTTGCACCTGCTCCGCCGGGAGCCTCGATGCGCGCCATGCCGGCGAGCCAGACGGACCCCACGGAGTGGCTTTCCATGACCGTACTGGTGTGGCCAGGCGTATGGCACATACTGGTGTGCCCTTGCGTTGCCTTGCTCTGCTACGTGGCCTTCATGTCCGATCCTTCGATGCGCAACGGGGCGTCAAAACGGGTTTTTTCAGAGGCTGCCGCATGCGAACACAAACGCCATCTAGCGAACGAAAGGTCAGTGGCCCGGACCCGGATGAGGTGTTTTCTCTCGACCCAGCCGTACGCGACCCGTGCTGTTTCGGCCGCGGGGAGAGTTGCGACTCCAAAAGGGCTCGCTGTGACTCGAGGTCGGAGGACAGCAGCTGCGCTTCTTGCAGCAAGTCGAAGCGTTGGCAGACACGGCTCAAGAGCAATCCTTGGCTCTTAGAAAAAGCTCCAGCTAGGAAACTGAGCCAATCTGAATGGGATGAAGGGTGAAGATTTCTTGTTGTTTATTGTTGCCGCCACAGTTTGGAGATTTTCTGGGAAAATTATTAAGAGCTTCTTTGGGTTTGGTGCTCTTTTCGCGGGAACCCTTTAAAGGGCGACCCAAGACAAGCGAGCATGTCCTCGAAGCAGGAGCAAAAGCAGGAGCAAAGGCAGCAGCAAAAGAGCCAAAAAAAACACTACTAGAAAGAAAACACAAATGTCCAACTGAAAAAGATTGCCACAACAAACACTGCTCCTGAAGAAAGAACCCACATGAGAATCGACATGTACCTCGAACCAGCTTTTAAGATGCTCATTTCATGCACAATACCCTCCCTGAAACGAACCATGGAAGTGGACAATGCCCTGTTTGTAGAGGAAAAGTGCCTTTCCAGGAGCCATGTTGCACTTCCATGATTGTGTCAGGGGGGGCTATGAATATCTCAGCTGTTGTCACACACATGACTCCGAACTCGTGCTGCCCCGAATCCGAAGAGCACGTGGCCAAAATACTTGTCTGCTTGAGCCACTCGAGTGTTGGCCATGAGATCGAAGTACCTTCTCACCTGCTTCACCACTTCTGAACGATTCCTGGCACGCGCAACACACGGAGTCTGCACACCCTCCGAAGGGGCGGTGTCCGACCTTTTTCTGATTGGGTCGTTGATGCCGTTTCTTGGAAAACACCGGACTCCGCGGTGTTAGAAAACCACCTCTCTTCAGCTAACTATTCAGCAGCTAAGAATGCCATTGGGAAAGTTTTTGGGGAGCACAAAACGACCCCAAAAGCTGCTGGGCTCTGCAGCCTGGGCTCTGCAGCGACTCGGGTGTGATCGCCAAGGGCACCGGCGCATCGTCAAAGGAACGATTCCAGTCCGGCAATCCGGCAGCACCAGCCACAGCTCGGACAGCCTGAAGGACCGCCTCTCAAAGTAAAGCACGCAGGAAAAAAAGGAAACAATACCAAATACCATCCAAATACCATTCAGTACCTGCCCAAATGCACCCAAAAGAAGCAAAACATGGCAAAACTCCAAAGAGTGTGTCACATCAATGAACACTTGAACCAACAAGAACCAACACTTTGCTCCACCAATTCTGGGTGAAGTCCAGTGGTCCTATCGGGTAATCCCAACATGTCCAAAGCCCACTTCCCTGCCCATTGTCCATTCTTGACTAACCTTTTTTCACTGCCAAACCCCTGGGCAGTGCAGTCATTGTCAAATTGCATCCGCACAGCAACTCTAAGACATTCTATGATAGCTCCTGCACCGCTTGGCGGGCAAGGGCCGCAGCCTGCGTGTTTGAACAGCCACGGCGCCGCTCACAATGATACACCCTGCTGTACACATTGTTTCTGTTTTTGCTCTGTTCCTTTAGAACATTAGCTTTGGCCTTTGCACGAGGCTTTCCAACATTGGCCTTCGGCCTTGCCTTGCACTTTGCATTTGTGCTTTTTTTTGCACGTGTCTTGGCCTTGGGCATGGCTTTTGCATCTGCCTTGGCCTTGGGCCTGGGCCTGGCTTTTGCACCTGCCTTGGCCTTTGGCCTGGCTTTTGCTGATGCACCCAAACTCTGTTCTTTGGGCTTTGGCGTTGGAACTAATGGCCGTGTGCCCATCGGAGTAGGGACAGCCGCCAGCCTCAATATCACATACCAACCAAATTCAACCTTAAAGTACAAACTGTACCATCCAAATTGTGAGCTGACTCTAAGTCCTTAGCGACGATTGGTCATGCTCAGAAGACCCCTGCAACATATTGTGTTCATTTGTGCTCACTTTCCGTGAATCCATTCTCAAATCAGCTTCGAATACAGGCTGCCTCGCCGCCTTCAGGTTTTTTTTCAGGCTCGTCTTCGTTGGAGAGGTCCACCAGCACCTGCAACGCACCAATCACACACCAAAAACACAAAGATGTGGAACAAATGTAGGCATAGAAATATGGGACACACACCTGTTCAGATCCACACAAAGAGATAGTCTCATCCACAACAGAATGCGTCTCTTCAACTGCTGCCACCAAATCAACCTGAAGGTAAGAGCAAGAAGGAGGATTCATTAAGCAAGCATCTAAGCAAGATTGCATAGATCTAAGCAAGCAAACAGCCTGCTCAGGTTGGTCCTCATAGCCATCAAGGCAATCGCCAGGCTTATCAGGGCTGGCCTCCACACCAACACCATTACTAGGGCTAATTGCTTCCATGGTTCAAAAACAAGGGGCGCCTGTCACAAGTTAGTATGGACACACATCAAGCAAGATCATTCTTGATACCGATGGGAGCCTCGCTGGTGCCAAACAGTTGGCTTTCGGACAATTCAGTTGGATTCTCCTGGTGCATATGTCAGCGAGTGGTGAGTCCAAAACTAGTGGACACAACACCAGCATGAACAAACCATCACAACCATGCACAAAGACCTTTGGGTAGATGCCATGATTCACGGGCTCCTTTGCAGCGTTCTTGTTTGGCTCAGCATCCTCCTCAAGGCTGGATGGCTGCAGAGACAGGATGGCTGGGATTGGAAACTCAGGGAACATCGCAGGTAAGATTCTGTGGTATTGGGTCCTGCTTCTCAAAGAACTGAGCGTTCTGGCGATGTAGGCGACGTTTCTCCAGGATGTCAGCAATGTCCTGCAATGGCAATGTTCTATGTGGAGGTTCAAAAGGGGTTACAGTGACAAAGGGCCACAACCATTTTCGAGGGCAAGATGATTTATCCAAGTTGTTTCAGAAAGGTATATGATTAAAACTGAACACTGCGCTAAGACCGAAGAAGGCTTTGGGAAAGCGATTGCAGATTCAGTGTGGGAGTCCTACTGCCCTTCCCGGTTACAGGCATCAACAGAAGACTTCCCATGCAGGGGGCATCACTGGAGGAATCACCATGGCTTACAAGAAAGTGGCTGCCTGGGAGATTTGCACAAGTACTTTAAGACCTAGGCTAGGCCCAAAATCCCAAACATGTGAAGACAATTTGTTTGCCTTCTCAAGCCATTGTTATTGGTTATCCATGCTGCAACCTTATATAACCGCCTTTTCATATTTATCCTTCCCACTTGGAACTGGAACTGGGATGCAGGTTCACCATCACCCGAAAAGGTGAGCGCCAATTGGTCTCAGCCTCTTGGAATAGAAACATGGAACAGATGTTGATTGGTTGCAGCCATTAAGCACCTATGAAAGAGTTGTTATGTTTTGAGGATTCAAGTGGAAGTCTCCGTTTCGCTCACCACTATTGCCAAAACGAACATTGTACAGTAACCATTTTCATTGAAAACTGGCTTGGGTGGAGGTTGCACAGGGAATCCTTGAAAGGTCCATGGCTAACCTTGATGTTGTGCACACCGCCCTCTGAAGACAAAGTTCACACATGTTCAAATCAGGTCATACACAGCATGGTCTTTACACAGCATGTCTGTCCGGGCGAAGCTCCAGGGTCTCTTCAGAGTCAAAGGGCGAATCCTGCAGACTGGACATGGCTGGTATGAGAGTTGACCAAAAGCAGGTGATGCAAAACATCCCACTCATTCGAGTGTCCTGGTGTTGCTTAGGAGAATCAACCGCCTAGAAGTGAGGTTTGGTGAAGACACCCAACACTTGCACACTTCTAGGGGCAAGGTGATCAGGACCGGCCTCACCATCCATCTCCATTGTCTCCACCTCATCCATCTCATCAGCCAAACGCCTCACATGGCCCAGGTCCTGAAGTGCTGAGAAGTATGGAGAAGTGCTGGGAAGCTGGTTTAAGCTACTCGGTGTCAATCATTTGCTTCAAAACCCCAATCCTGATTTCCCTCCAAGACAGGATCGAAATTGACATATGGCGGATAGAGTAGCTCATTTCCAAGCTGGTTGTCAGGGGAGACAAAAATGCCTTTCTTTCTGGGCATCTCTGGGCTGCTGGGAATCGAAACGCTTTCATGAGCCTCTCGTTCTGCAATCTCAGCCGACACGATCGCAGCTTGCAGCTCCAACTGAAGGCGCTCGGTAGGATCCATAGGAAGATCCAACTGAAGACGCTCATCAGAGTCTAACGCCCCACTGGAGTTTGGCGCATGCTGATCATCCTCTCTTCTCTTGCCCTTCTTCCTTGTTTTTTCCTTGGGAGTCCTGCTGGACTTAGTAGTCTTGGGTTTCCTGCTTGCAGCAGCTGGTTTCTTGCTTGGCTGAGAACCTTGCCCTGCCAAGCCTGCCGCATCATCACCATCGCAATCGTCATCTTCATCATTGTCATCTTCATGGTCACGCTCGCAACCATCATCTTCATCTTCCTGCTCTTGAGCCTTTCTCTTCTTGTCTTTGTCTTTCTTGTCTTTCTTGTCTTTCTGTTTCTTCTTCTCATCTTCTCCTGCCTTATTTTTCTTCTTCTTTGCTCCCTCTCCATCGCTCTCTTTGTTTGCATGTGTCTTGCTTGGCTTCTTCTTCTCTTCTGTCTCATCCGAATCACCTTTGTCCTTCGAGTCACTGGCAGATTCGGACCCGTGGCATCGCTTCAGCAAAGTTCCTGACAAAAGATGAAATGGGAGAGAACTCTTGGAGCGGTACAGGTTGTATAATTATGCAGCAGTTTAAAGTAGCCAATCATGACCGCAAAGTCATTGACCGATATTGATAGATATATGATATTTATATATATATATGGAGCCTGAAACAAGATCATCCCAGCCTGTTGAGGCTTTTTGGGCATTCTCAGCAGCAGCTGGCGAAGCACGAGGAGGTGCGGAGGGCGCACTTCCACTCAAAAGGTCCGAATAGGCTGAAGCTGAGAATTTTGGAGTGAACTCCATTGGCCCCTCCAATCTAGGAACTGCAACGGTCTCAGCCCAAAAGCCCTGTGGTGGCCAGAATGACAGACTTGCAATTCAATGGTGTTTCAAAAAAGAAGGTACATCATCAACCCTTTTCACTGGGCATGGAGACATTTTCACTTTTTGTTTCAAGCTTTTGCGCACTAGTGAGCAATGTTTATTGCGACGTGCGACAGTGAAGGCATCCCTGACAGCGCTTATCATTGAACAATGTTTGGAATTTGGAACCATGAAAATTATATCCTACCATCACTACACCATGTCAGGGTTCACCTTCATCGCATACAGGCATCCCTGTATGAGCCGTACCCCAGGATATTCCCAAACATTGAATCAAACAAGTTGAGCCACTTGCTTGCTTTTCAAACTCACTGACCCTGCCATGACTGCTACAGGCCGCACTGGGACGAACTCACGAGCAGTCCCTTTCTCAAAGTGCAGCCTGGAAAGCGAGCCGATCATGGTGGAAGTCAGTAAGCTTCTGGGAGGAGAAGTGGTTTGTCAATTGCAATGTGCACATGGATTCTCCCTGGATGTTTTCCCAATTAGTTGTATGTAGACATCCATGATCATCTGAATGTAAGAAAGTGGTGAACATACTTTTGTTGGAACAGGTCCGGACAAGATTTCTTAAGGTCTTGATGTTGGATCAGAGTCTAAACATGAAAAGATCTTGGTTGAATAAGATGAGACACAACATGATACAAACATGAACAAATGATGTGGGAGGGTAATCCAAAGCAAGTAAGAGCCATCACCCCCAGCCCACAACTTGTGACCTGCCTCATTCGCCAAATGATCTTGACGTTTTGGCTGGCACGGAGCTTGCTGAAGTTGAAATTGCTCCCATAGGTCAAGGCTGAAGCCTGGTGTTCCAGGATTTTTTCATGGTTGTTCTCCATGGTTGTTCTCCATGGTTGTTCTCCATGGTGTTTTATGTTGTTGAACCAACTGGAGAAAATATTGTCTTGTAAAACTTGAAGGAGAGTTGAGGGCAACTATGACATCTGAGGCCAAGCCTTCTTGCGCTTTTTGCCCGGTGGGTCAAGGACAAAGGCCACATCATGGAGAGGGCTGAAGGACAAAGTGTTATTGTCAGTCGATGTCCTGTGTTCA